GATAACAAGTTGTTTTTTCTTACTTTTTTTTTATTTATAACAATACTAGATTTTAAAATCCGTATATACCCCATTAATTAACAACAACAATATTCCAAACTTGTTGATACAACAAAAAAAAACAAGATCATAACAATTGGACTAGACAATGAGCTATGTGCGTCTATAAATAGTGGCTTCAAGAAATCTCAACCATCATCTCATAAACAACTCTTTTTGGTATTTCTCTACACCTATACATACATAAAGCTAATATATACCAAGATCTTGAGTAGTACAGTACATTCATAGCTACAATGATCATCAAACCTGTTCTTTTTAAAACAAGTTCTTAATGTACCCATAAGAGGTTTGTGTCATGTTCTTTCCATACACCATTTTTTTCTTTTAATTGCAAATAAAAAATTGATTTCTAATGTTTTGGGAGACATTGATATAGTGTTGACAGAAGATAGAGAGCACAGATGATGAGATACAATTCAGAGCAGTTTCTTTGCATCTTACTCCTTTGTGCTCTCTAGCCTTCTGTCATCACCCCTTATGTCGTCACCCATATATCTTCTTTTACTTATTATATATATATACACAACTATGTTTATATATCTTGTTTCTCCATGGCTTAATCTCTGCTTGCAACTGCAAATCAAAGAATGCAATTTTTTAGTTGTAAACTTGGTTTTGTCAGGAGATATTGAACTTACATGTTTCTTAGTGAAATTTATATATTATCTAAGTTTCATATACTATATATATGTGTGTGTGTGTGTGTGTGTGTGTGTGTGTGTGTGTGTGTGTGTGTGTGTCCGAGTTATAAGGTATTTTATAGGCTTCATCTTTTTCTTTTCTTTTTTTTTTGGTTAGGGGCAAAGATTGGTGAGAAATCTGAATACTTAAATGTGATATTAGAGCACAATAGGTTAAAGAATTTTGAATTGTGGACTATATTACTTAGGTTTGGAATTAGTAATTAAGGATATATATAGTGAAGTTGAGAATTAGTGTATGTAATAGGTTAGAATTACAATTTCTATAATATTACATATATTTGGAATTCTTATAAATTTAATAGGGCTGGGAAAAAATTGAAACAATTCCAATCGTTTCAAGAACCTCAAAAGAGCCCTCAAATGGATCCCTTCAATTTGTTTCATTGTGGAGTTTAAGGTAAAATTGTATTTTAAATCTGTATTTCTAGCTTTTAGCTAATTTAACAGTTTAAATATATCTTTGGATGTTTGTATGTATCAAAGGAAGTGTTGTGTGTATATAACATATACATGCTTAAGATGTCCTTATAGCTATGGTTTATGTATACTTTTACCTATCTTGGTTAATCTCTCACTTCTTGGGGTTATCCATTTCGCAAAAATGTTCTCACGTGGCTTCAAAGATCGTCTCACAGCAGCACTTCAACCTTACTAGGGCTCTTAGGAGCGCACAAACGGGCATCTATGGGCGCGATGCGATATGTATTCTACGATTCACGGATACTCTAACGTTAAGTATGGTTCAGCAAAAATCTGGACTTATAGTTGTTTTGATTTCTCTGGATTGCTCCCAAGCCTGATGTTTCTTTGACAACTGCTAATTCATTATCAATGTAATAGTTTCATTCAAGAGTATGCATGATAAATTCAGAAACAGTTTCAAAAACATTTGAAAAGCTATATAGGTTAATTAAAAGATATGTATACTTAAACTCAGTTTTGATCTAAGACTCTTAAGTCTATATATACGTAATGTCTTGAAGAGAAAGGATCAGCAAAATTCATTTACTTGCCAAAATTGTTACACCTCCCACCAAGTTCATTATTGCATGTCGAGATTTTTGATAGTGAAAACGATTCTCATCTCAAAACGTTAGTGTTTTAATGATCTTTAAATCTTTAAAGCTGATAGCTAAGTTTTAATTAAAGGCTTTGTCAAATTAGTGCAATGATTATCAAACACATGTTTAATAAAGAAAAGGAGATTTACAGTATCTTGGTAAATGCAAAATCATCAAAATTAAACTGGGATTAGGTGATAAACCATATAAAAGGCATGGTCGTACATATGGAAGACAGCATTATTTTGACCAAGTCCAATAAGCATGTAGTAGAGAGAGAGAAGTGACATGGGTCTCGACTCTTTGTTAGTAGGCTGAAAGTTTTACTAGGCCTGGCCCAATTTAAAAAACAGTTCATAAAAAAAAAAAAAAAAAAAAAACCTAAACTTTGCCACTTATGTGAAGACAAGATTATATATGCTTTATTAATGTAAGATTAACATAGTGAAATTAGTTTCATGGTATATACTCTTACATTAAAAAGGTAAAATATTGAGAAAAGTACTTTAGCATGCTTTACCGAATTACAATAATTAAACGGTATACCTTTTTTTTTTTTTTTTTTTTTTTTTTTTTTTTTTTTGGGGCGGCCATTTCATTTTTTATTAAAATGAAAAACCCAAATGGGTATTACAGATAGTGAAACAAAAGCCCAAATTCCTTCAACGTTTACAACTTCAATTGAATATAACCCATTTATCCTACCTATTTAAGATAAGGATAAAAGATCAAAGTGCCACGTATGCACACGTGTCCATACGTGAGAAGAAGGAAAGTTGACACGATCGTCACTGACCAGATCCACGATCAGGCACAGCACCGTCGCCGGACTTTAGATCCACCACTGGTTGCTCCTTCCACATATTCACCGCTGCTTGTGACAAGATTTTGTTGCTTCCATCTTTAAAATTATAACCATAGATTCTATTGAATCTTTTATCTCAACTCAAAAGCTCTTCGAAGAAAGCTGCGCCTCTAGACCTTCAAAGGTCCACTTCAAACCAACCGGTGAAGTAGGTTGACGAAGATATTACTCCTTCAGAAGAGAAGAGCCAAGCTGATAGTAAAGCAAACATAATTTGTCAATTACAAACGGGATTCAAATCTCAAATCATGTAGAAAGAGAAGCACAAAATCCAGAACTTAACAAAGTTAAGTCTGGAAATTTTTAATCCGACCAAAGATAAACTAACTTAAGATCGGAAGATAAACAAACAAAACAACTAATCCGATTAGAAATCGGAAGACAAAAAAGATAGATTTGGCTTTATCTCTCTGAAAAATACGAGAGAGTTAAGAGAGAGAAAGCCTATTATTTTGAACAAACTAAGCTTTCTTATAACTATTTTTATAAATCACAAAAAAAAGGAGACTCATCTTCGTGTGGTCAATCGCATGACTATCATATATACCTATATAGTATATATGATAGTTATGGTGTTATGTTAGTTGATATATCATATATGTGGACATATTAAGAGTATAAATGAGTGCATTTAGAAAAAAAATTTCCAACTCAAAAAATTTTAGATTAATACTCCTTTCATATAAATTATATTTGTTTGATTTTATTTTTAATATATTAATTGCATTTAGACATTTTTGATTGCAAACAACAGTGTTTCTATTTATAAATTTTATATAAATATATTTACAAAACCTTGAACGAATGAAGGAATATCAGAGTTTAGTAATATGACGTCGTTTCGTAAGATTAGGCGAATCAAAGAACTGCTAAAACAAACAGTCATCGAATTTTCAATTCGAGAACCCTAAACTCACGAAACAACTTCAATTTTTTCAACTCCGATGTCCCGTCACTGCTACGGTGTCGGCTGACTCATCGTCGTTAAGTGGTTAACTAACACCGTTTCGGTATATGTTTAGGTTCGAAATTTGAATTTTTTGTGAATTTAAATTGTTATTTATCGGATATCGTAATTTGGATATAAAAATGCCACTAGCAAATAGTCTAAGTTGATTTTCGCTATTTTTCTCCACATATGACAATATAGCACAAATTTATAGGCAACATGTGAATTTTTAAAAATCATTTTTTGTATTTAATTTGTTTGATCAGCTCATCTGTCGGACTCGTTGACTTAGATCATTTATTATTATGAGATACAACCAAAAAAAAAAAAAAAGATCGCAATCTTCCTAAAATCAAATTATAAAACACCTCGTGACAAGCATGGTATTTTTAAAATAAAGAAAAATTATTGACGTAAGAGTTGTATTATTGTTTTCAATAATTGTTTATTTGATAGAATAAATCTTGCATTGCTGGTGAAGTGGTGATATGCTCAAGATTCTTACAGATCTGATACTTTGCTTCATCGATCTCTCTCGATGAAGCAACTTTGACTAATCAATTCGAAATAGAGTGGACTCATCTTCACGTTAGTGAAATGATCATTGACTCCAAATCTTTCTTTTAAAGATGGTTACAAGTTTGGGCTTACAAACCAATTGAAAATACTAAAGTTATTATATTATGATATGCTTCCACTCTATCAAAAATCTAATTAATAACAATTTAACATGAAATAAATTTAGGATCTGATTGGTAACATACTCGAAATTGTAAAAAGAAAAACTATAAGCTATTATGGTAAGTTTTTACGGAATAATGAAAATTTGTAAAAAGAACAGTAGATAAAAACTGTAAAAAAAGACATAGAGTAAAATATTTAATAAAAGTTCCGGTAACATTTTTGTGACTGAAAAAAGTTGAAAAACTGTATAATATGTACAACTTTTTTCTGTTCACCAACCAAAGTCTTAATTTTAATAGCACACATATTTAGCTTCTAGTACATTTAATTTAGTTTAAAAATTATTATTATTATTATTATTATTATTATTATTATTATTATTATTATTATTATTATTTTCTTTTTATAACAATCTCACATTCCATTATAAACGATTATAGTACATTTATAATCAATGCTGAAGGTTGACAAAAAAGAAAAAAAAAAAAAAAAAAAAAAATCAATGCTGAAGAAGTATAACAATTACACGTTTAAAATGTGCTTATTATTTTTTTTTGTTTAGTCATCAATAATTTGATGTTAGAGTTTAGACTGTCACAATCTAAGTTTTAACCACCGTTACCATTTAAATCTTATACTGTATATATAGCTGATGAGTGAAGTCGTCGCTCAATATCATAAATTGAGCCAACCACCACCACATATAATCCAAAAAAAAAAAAAAATGATGACCGGCGAAGGAAAGGTGGTTTGTGTCACCGGAGCTTCCGGATACATAGCTTCTTGGATTGTTAAGCTTTTGCTCCTCCGTGGCTACACCGTCAGGGCCACCGTTCGAAACCCATGTTTGTATCTTCTTCTCTCCTTATCTTCCTTAGCTTCCTAAGCATTTTTGAGATCTGACATATATATGTTTTTTTTTGGTTCTAGTGGATACAAAGAAAACAAAGCATCTTCTTGAACTTGAAGGTGCAAGTGAAAGACTAAAACTGTTCAAAGCTGATCTTATGGAAGAAGGTTCTTTCGATGAAGCTATACAAGGATGTGATGGTGTATTCCATACTGCTTCTCCTGTTTTATTCAACGTTACGGATCCTCAGGTTCGTTTAATGACTCTTCAAAACTATCTTTTCTTTTCAAGAACACAATAATTTCAATAGTATGTATAAGTTTTGTTTGGTTTGGGGTTTTTTTCAGACTGAGTTGATCGATCCGGCCGTTAATGGTACTTTGAACGTTTTGAAAACGTGTGCAAAAACTTCCTCTGTGAAGAGAGTCGTCCTTACGTCGTCCACAGCTAGTACTGGTACTACTGATCCAAACGTCGTGGTGGACGAAACCATCTATAACGATTCAAGTTTATGCTTATATATGAAGGTTCTTGAATCATGTGCTGTTTTTGTGACATATAGTTATCGATGCGGTTCATGAGAAGTCGAATTGTTTCTTACTTTTGTTTGTATGCCTTTCTACTTTCCAGGAATGGTATGCATATTCGAAAATCGTAGCCGAGGAAGCAGCGGTTAAGTTCGCTAAAGAAAATGGGATCGATTTGGTTGTAATGAATCCGGGAAATGTGATCGGACCAGTTTTGCAGCCGATTCTTAATTACTCTGTAGGAGTGATTGTGGATCTGATGAATGGTAAATTCCCTGTTTATAGTTTCTACTACAGGTTCGTGGACGTGAGAGATGTTTCTCTAGCTCATATCAAAGCGTTCGAGGTCCCTTCTGCTAGTGGCAGATACATCCTTGTTGATCCTGATGTAACAATGAAAGACATTCACAAGTTATTACATGAACTGTTTCCTGAACTGTGCAGTGTTAATAAGTAAGTTACATTTTATATACCTTCATCTTCATTTATACTCTTATATTGAGTCCATAAGCTAATCAATCAACAACACTTTATTTGTTAGGGATGGAGAGAATGAGCTGAGTGAAGCGGCATACAAAGTGTGCGTCGATAAATTTAAGAGTTTGGGAATTGAGTTCACTCCTATAAAAGATAGTCTCAATGACACCATTGTTAGCCTTAAGGAGATGTCTCTTCTTATATGATCCTTGACAAAGGACTCTTGAGTTATTTTTCTTGTGATTTCAATAATAAAAACTGTATCTGGATTAATTTATAAATATGATGTCTAAGCTTCTGCAATGTAATGAAATGTTTATTAAAGTTGAAATAAGATAATAAGATTTTAATAAACAAAATTTATGTCTGTGTATGTCAAAACATTCAGATGCACAGGCTTGGAAACAGAGGAAATCACCTTAAAGTCACAAGTACTGCATTCTCAAAAGTGATTTCCTCGAGTAGCATCAAAAGTAAGCTAACCGAGAGAGGACAAGACGCAGTGAATTCGCAGAGGTACCATGTCATTATGATATACTCGCAAGTTTTCAAAATTAAAAAGCCTCATGTTGTGTTTGCAAAAGCTTGTGAATCCTTCATAGATGGATGCAAGACTTGGTCTGTGCATGAATACTCCGGAAGAACTCACAAGCTTTTTACAAAACAGATGAGGAGTGATTGAAACAAATATAATCCATCTAGAAATCTTATTAATGCAGTACCTGCTCTTTACTTCTTTGATATTGTCGCGAACATGTGATCTGCTCATCTAAAACACTAACAACAACCACTTACAAAACCAACAACTTCACCATTTTCGATGCATAATCAATATCACGGTGCAGTTTAATCAGAAATGATTTTGATTTCAGAACTCAAAAGACCCTAACAGAAAATCACAGAAATGTGGAAATATGAGGGAAACAATTCGTAGCTTCGAGGTCTGATTTCAAAAATTATCTTTTATCCTAGTCCCCCAGACAAATGAACTCGACTCTGAATCCTGTGATTCACCAAAACAATATCATAGAATTCACTTATCAACAAGTAGGAAATACTAAGGAAACCAGGTACTCTACTAGTTCTTATTTCCTATGTCATGGTCTAAACAACTTCAATATTAGCCACTAGGTAAATTTGTTATCTCGTTCATTTGGTGACACAAAAAGGGATCCTGTTTCTGAGACAAGATATCATCTCACCAAGAACTTAAAGATGTGAGAATGATTATACTTCAAGAACCAAGTATAGAAGAGAAGAAGGACTTAATGATCCACTTACCTCCCTTGAAAGTTGGACAATAAGGTACCGCTTCACTTGTCAGGGCTAGTCCAACCGCCAAACAAGCCCACAAAGCCACGGGTAAGACTCACTACAAAAGTAAACTCATGCTAAGTTTAAAACAAAGCTATAACTCATGAGAGTCGCACATTTCAGACAGTAAAATCATAACTAAAAGTGTATACTATAAAAGGAAATAGATGTTTAAACTCTGCATATTGGAGGGTGCAGCGCCAACGTCTAGTAAGATCTTCCAAATGTATTAATATAGGATTACAAACAGCTAAGCAGATGATTCATCATTATTGTAGCTCCAAACTTCAACAAATAATAAGATCCTAGGCACAGTCCAAATAAACATGGTAAGTTCAGAAAACCAGATTGGAAAAGGGCATAACGTCAATGCATTTAGGCTAAACATAGTTGTTTGCATCATTAACTAGAGCTAGAGCAGCAAAATGAACACAAGGTTCTTCTTTTCTTTGTATTACCGTTTGTTCGAACCTACAGGGGGAGTCAATACTAAACCAAAGACTGATTTAACTTGAGGCAGTGGTAAAACGTGATCCTACTCTAAGGCAACACTCTTTCTTAAACAAAAAAAAGGGTCAAATTGCATGTAATTCACCTTCAATAAGCTAGATTTTTTAAGGCACAATATTTAATTTAGCCTATCAAACTAGCATACTGATATCGAAAACAATCTAATATAGTAAAAAAAAATATACCATATCCTGGTAAAGTTACCAATTAGTACCACTGAAGTCACCAAATTCAACAAATAGACATAGCATTCTCCATACGAAAGGCAAATCTAACCCAACCTGATCGTCTTACTCTTGCAGATTCACAATGTATTTTCCAGCTAGTAAGTATCCTGATGACATTATAAAAACTTCATCAACCTTATAAGTAGGAACCATTATAGCAAAAGAAGTAGTTTTAGATCAACTAACACACACATCATATGACTTAGACCAAATTTCCAGCATACGGCAAGATATACTTTTCTGCAGGGGAACCGTTATCCTCTTGCATAGAATATCATCTAACACAATCACTGCATTCTTCTCCAAATGGTAAGACCAGCAAAACACATATAAGACATTCTATGATTTAGACTATGTTTCTCAGCGTACTGCAGGAACTCAATAAACCAAGTCAATCCAATTTTAGAAAGAACAAAACTAAAACCAATTCACATCAGTTTATGATCTGTACTCTAGCACTATACAATGTCAAGAAATCTAAACTCCCAAAACAAATCAAACAGAACACAGAAACAATGAACGAGTAACTGAAAGAAAGTAGCATAGTTTATACTCAAGGTAAAACAAGCTTTCATCAATACAAATTCAATATCTTTGTTGAATCTATAATCCTTCTCATGTCCTCTCTCCTGCTTAATCCTCGAGAGCAATACAAACAACATATCCCAAACTCGAAAAGAGAATCACACATTTCTTCAATTCTCCTTTCATACCCTAATTATAAATTTTTCCTATAATCTCATCAACATTTGTTATTTAACATCTTCCTCTTCCTTATTCCTACGCAAATATGTTTCTTACCCAGAAAAAGTTACCATATTTATACCAAATCTGTACACAGACCACTAATTATTACTCTTCTTCTTCTTCCTCTCATAGATCAGTGAGTGAGCATCATCATCCTCTCTTGATCAGTAAGCGAGTGACGGAAATGGCAACGGTGACCGTACGGACAAGCAGCTCCGGTAACAATCATTCTACAGACCTCAGTTTTGTATCGTGGATGCCTAATCACAGGACGGAGCTCGTCGATTCCGTGAGCGAATTGGCAGTTATCGCCGTAAGGACAAGCTCCAGTCTCTTGCCATTTGTTACAAAGCTCCGTCTTCGTCATCCCTTGGCGATATACATCAACCTCTAAAGCTTCTCTCTCTTTCGTTGATACGCACAGCTTTTGAGATGAGACCTTCACAGATACATATTTATGACGTCATTATATATAATTAAACAAAAAAACAATTAAATAAATAAAGTGAAATTACCGAGTCGGTGTTGCTGAGTTGACTCGTTTGACGATCAGAAACTCCAAATCCATGGCTTCGTCCGTGGTTAACCTTGAGATAGTCCGGAGATCTGACGGAGATGCTCTTAGGCAACGAGTTTCTCTTAGCGGAACGAGAATGCTTTTGAATCGGACCGAAATCGGAGATCTGGTGACGGAACTGACGGTTATGAATCGGCGGCGGAGAGACGGAGGAGGAGGAAGGAGACGAAGTCGAGAGATGAATAAGCTTGAGTAGATCTGAGTTTTCAAATCGGAGAGAATCGTTCTCGTGACGAAGAGAATCGAGTTCCGTCATCAGAGATTGGAGACGTTTAAGGCAAAGCTCGTAATGCTCGTTGAGTTCATCGTACTCGAGGATGAGTCTCGCTTGACGAAGACGATGCTCTGTAGTTGTATCTACACGAGCCGGTGGAGAAGACGAAGACGGAGGAGATGGAGATAGCGATAACGAGATCGGTAACTGAGAATCCGGCGAGAAAATCGAGTTATACAACGACGCGAAGCTTGCGGCGAACTCTTCTTGGTGTTTACTGTTGACGCTTCTCTCAGAGATCGGTGATAACGGAGGCGGCGGCGAGTTTAGGTTTAGCGCCGTTACATATTCCAGATCTGTTACAGTAGACTCCGTGAGTTTCTTCTCCATGTTTAGCTTCCTGAAGAAGATAACACAAAAAAATTGATAAAATCAATCGGAAAATTCACAGATTTGTTAACCAAACAACATTGAATCCGATCGGAGAAGATAAAAACCTGAATTAGCGTTGATACTTTACAGAGAAGCGAAGGAGGAGAAAGAGCGGTGAAGTAAAGATATGAACAATGCTCTCTGTATTTATATAAACTGTGAAACAGAGAGGTGAGGAAGAAGAAAGAGATAAAAATCGTATACGGGAGAGACTATGGGAAGGTTGTTACGTTACTTAATTTAAACCGTATGATGAGATGATCAAAGGATGTGATTGGTAATGTGGTGAGTTTAATTGGTTGGTGAATTGCTTCCTCGTTGTTAAGTAAAGTACAGAGGAGTATGCTACCTACTTCACTTTTTTCGCGCCAACTTTCAGAACCGTTAGAGATGTCTAACAGAATAATATATATTTGTTTTTTTTTTTAGATAACTTCAACAACAAAACTAGTGTTTTAGTTTACACTTTACACATATAGTGAGAAAATAGTTTATTTTTGGTAATATTATTTTCTAAACATAAGATTGTGACAATACTATAAGAAATATATTTATTAAATCCATTTGTTTGATCATATTTAGCCAAATAAAATGGATGAATTTTTCTATCCTAAAGTGAAGTTTAGAGCTCTCCCCAAGATAATATACAACTTTCGGCTTAAATTTTTTTGATTTATCAAAAAAGAAAATAATGTGATGTATCGCTATAAAGAAATTTATCGATCAAAAAAGAAATACTAACTATATAATTTTTTTAAAAAAACATTGATCATATTTATTCAATAAAAAGGAGGTCTTTTTTTAATCTTAAAGTGAAGATTAAAGCTCTCTCCCATGATAATATATAAAAATTTTGTCTTAAAATTGCATGGTAAATCGAAAGAAAAAAAAATCAATCTATGAAGTTGCGATTTACCTAAACTATTAAAATCTATTTTAAAAATAGACATAGATGGAAACAAAAAGTTTGTTAGGAAGTGAAGTTTTGCTTGTAATTTGGAGAATAAATAAGTATTCATGTGTTTCATAAATTAAGTTTGGTTTGGTGAATCATGAATAAGAATTGTTAATTGATTAATTTAATTTATAATTATATATTTATATATAGTGTTTGGTTTAGTTGCATGTTGTGAACGACCGTAGTAAGGTAAAGGAATATGTATATATGTATGTGTGAGTTTGCTTCAAGAGCACAACTTAAACTAACAACTATGGTCCCTTGTCCGATGTGTATATACTTCAATCAAAATCTTTCGTTGTAGCTAACTAACTAGAAAAATGTTTCCTTCCTTCTAACCCAACAAACTCTATGGAATTTTACGTTATGAACCTCTTTTTTTAGACAATTTCTTTTAAATGTCATATAACTAATTAATATTATATATAGTATTTGGAAAATTAAATCTACAATCTATCAAAAGACATGGGCGATGTGCAGTTTTATTAATAAATTATTTATTTTAATGCAATGTTATAATATGAAAAGAATTGGTAATTGGCGAAAACTGTATTTTGATCGACAAAACACAGTCCATAATCTAATCTCTCTACTACAAATGATAACATGAATACATGGAATTGAGCTCTATATGGACCTTTAAAATAAATATTAAATAATATAAAATATATTATTATTATTATATAAAGCTTAGTTTCAAATTTAATAACTCATGTGATTGTGACGCATGTTAATTTTAACGATCTTATATTTTTATCGTTAATGAATTAAAATATTAGTTAATTCTTATGAAAAAATGAGTTAGTAGATGGATGATTTACATAGAGATATGATAAGTCAATATAGAAGAGAGGTTAACTGAAAGAAGTGTTAACCAACAAAGTGAATACTTTATATTGTTAAAAAAATAGTTTCTAACTTCGAATTTTATTATTTTATATGTTTTATGTTTTATTTTGTTTTCTTTATCTAAAATGATATGAGTCTTGGAGAGCATTTATGCTATGGGATTGATGTGAGCTAAAGGTATATTAGATTTCTTAAAAAATAAGCTCATAAGGGCCCATGGACAGTGAAACGAGTTCGTATTTAACGCGACGATGATTCATGATGATGTGAAGAATCAATTGGAGTTTCTCCATGGCGAATTTATGCCAATTAGATGTGAAAATTGAGGAGAAGATAACTTCGTTGGGTGAAAACTTGAAGCGATTGGATGGATATTTGAAAGGAAAGTTCAGTTTGATGGAGACGATGCCGAAGAAGAGTATAAAATTTTTAATGTTTGATAAAACAAATTTATCTACGTGGCTTTCAAGAGTGGTGAAGTTTTGCAGTATTTGTTGTTTTAAGAATAAGCGTGTTTCGTGGTTTTAAGTCTAGAAGAACTTGCATTGAACTATTACATTTGATGTATATTAACACTAGTATTCAGTGATTAGAGTGACTTTGAGCACAGGTTGTTGACACAAGTTCTCCAAGGTGACTTCGACAACTAATTTGATCTCAGATTTTAAATCAGAAGCTAAATAAAACATAAAGATTGGTTGTGTTCCATATAATTGTCACGATTACATGTAATTATGACCAGAAGTTACGAGTTGTCATGTAATTGTGTTTTAGGTTGTATACACTACTACAATGTAATAAAAAAGATTTACTGATAATTTTAACTTGAAATTTAACAAAACTCTAAATGTACAAAGCATGAGCACACCTCTCTCTCTCTCACCAACTTGTTTCAAATGTATTATTTTGTAATCACCAATTTTTTTTTATCATGATTAATTTCAATTTTCTTCATTTTTTTTAACGATTAAGAACCATGCTTACAAAAATTAAGATGCATACATAAACATTGCAAATTTTAATTTAACGTATAAAATATTTATCTTTTCAGAAAGTTAGGACAAAAAAATGAGGTTGATAGAATGATTTTCCAGAATGTGCAACAACTGAAAAATGAAAGTTAAATAAATTATAAGATACGTTCAAATATATTCCTATGCACACTCACAAGTGACAATAAACAAATCCGCTTATTCTATTTGCAATCAGAAACTATATTTGCCCAATACATACGTAAATAGCCCAATAGAAACGTAAATAAGCCCAATAAACACGTAAATAAGCCCAATAAATCATATACAGTACTTGCCAAATTTATTTCTCTCTCAATCTTATCTGATTTTTCTCATCCATCACTTCATAAACTCACAATTTCAGTGATTGTCATTTGTCCAATCACACAAATGGGATCAGTTAAAATCTGGAACCGTAAACCAGAAGTCAAAACCGGGAAATCCGAGTTTCCGGTTACCAGATTCCTCCGTGGACAAATCGAGAGCATCAAGAACACAACCACCGGTCCAGGAATCGGCGGCGGCATTGGCTGCGGCGCTGGAATCGGTTTTGGTCTCACCGGCGGGATCGGGATTGGCGCCAATGAAGGTCTGAACCATTCTAATGTGGTTCTTGGTTTCGGTTTAGGTTGCGGTATCGGGTTCGGGTTTGGGTACGGGTTTGGAGTTGGCGGCGGGTACAGTTTCGATGACATTAAAGATAGGTTTGACCTATGATGAGTTCAAAGCTCCGGTTCTTAATCCCGGGTTGCCGGGTCGGGTCTATCTAAAACATTTATGTTAATTTTGTATTAACATTTTTGTTAATTGTCTATTTTTAATGAAATTACTCTTGTCTTTATTTTGTTTTATTACAAAGCTCAACTTAATATCACAGTTACGAACCAAAAACATAAAACAGATACGATTATTACATAAAATTTGTCAAATAATTTATTTTTGTATAGCTCACTGTAGTATCAAAATTATAAAAGTAAAAAACATATAAATATTAATTGATTATATTTTAAATTGAAGAAACAAGCTTTTCGAAGCTGTCGTAGATATTTCTCATGAGTGGTCTTTTGTCTGGATTCTTGTGTACACAAGCTAAACCGATCTTGATCACTTGAACCATACTATCTTCCAAATCTCTATCCCGAGCCAAAGCCGGATCAAGAACATACCAAACCGGTTTATTTCTCTCACTAGCTGATTCAACCCACATAACCAAATCAATCTCTGAATTAACCGGAGATTTCCCGGTTACCAATTCGAGTATAACTAAACCGAATGAATACACGTCCCATTTCTGAGACGGTTTAGTCATCTTTGAAGCTGCTTCAGGAGCTTGGTAGTATGATTCTCTAGAGACGATTGGTGAGCTTGTCTCCATTGGAGAGATTTGATCTGACTTGATCCCTGAAGATGAGTCGACGATACGGCCTAGACCGAAACCGGATACTTTCGGTTCAAGATTTGGTCCGAGAAGTATGTTTGTTGAGGTAATGTGTCCATGGACGTATCTTTTGGGACTGAACTCGTGTATGTAAGTCAATCCTTTAGCGATTCTTCCCAATATTCTTAACCTAACCGGCCAAGTTAGTTGCTTGCAGGATACGCTACCAGCCCTACCTGTTATTATAAACTCATATGAATTAGATTTGAATCTAAAAGTATATGCGCGATTTGAACACTAAATGTACCTTGAATTGCAGAACCAAGATTTCCATTTGGTATGTAATCATAGATGAGGAGTTTCTCTTCTGGAGACCAGCAACAAGCCTTGAGATTCAAGACATTAGGGTGTTTGATTTTGGCCATTGCTTCAACATCAGCTAGAAACTCTTTAAGCCTTAGCCAACCTTTATCTTCCAATCTTCTAACAGCTAAGATTAACCCGTTTTCAAGTACAACCTTGTACACTAGCCCGATCCTGCTCTTCCCTAGAAGAAAAGCCGAGGCTTTTAGTAGCTGGTCGAGGTCAAATTCGATCTCAGGGTCCATTGGTATGAAAACTTGTTGAGTCTTGTTCTCATCGCGCGTTTCAGATTCTGAATTCCCATTCTTGAAACAGAGGAACTCTGTCTTTGTCTTCTTCAGTTTCTCTTCTGAATGATATGTGTGGTTGTTGTTCTCATCTTTGGTTGAACGAGCTGATGCTTTTCGAAGACAGTAGATTAATAATGAAGCAATAAAAAAGATTCCGCCGAGTACACCTCCAGTGGCTGTAAGGATGACGCAGAGTTTGGAATGATGGTTGACTCTTCTTGTATATAGTGTGGAAGGAACTATCCCTGTGTTTCTTGTGATGCAAGAAACCTTTAAGGGTAATCCACAAAGGAAAGAGTTCCCTTGGAAAGCATTTGGACCAGCATTCAAAAGAACGTTTGATTTAGGTATCGGACCACTGAGGTTATTGTAAGAAAGATCGACATAGAGAAGCTCCGGGAGATCACCAAGACTTGTTGGAATCATACCTGAGAAGAAGTTATGAGAAAGATCAAGAGTACCTTTCAGATTCTTCAAGCTTCCTATATCTTCAGGGATTGATCCAGTTAAGTGATTGAAAGAAAGATTCAGTGTCCGAAGATGAAGCAAGTCAGAACCAAACCCGGTTGGAAGATCTCCAGTGAAACTGTTCTTGCTAAGAACGAGTGTTTTTAGCTTCTTGCATTGAATAAGCGACAAAGGGATCGAACCATTGAAAGAGTTCTCAGAAAGATCCAAAGTCATGAGACTCTTCAAACTCCCAACCACTTCAGGAACCAACCCGGAAAACGAATTCCCTGAAAGCACCAAGCTTTGAAGCCCTTTAGGTACAAAGAGTTCAACAGGTAAGTTCCCTTGAAACTCATTGTCTCTAAGGTTAATATGTCGAAGTGACAAAAGACTTCCAATGGAAGGATGAAGAGAACCAGAAAGACGTTTATTAGGAAGACGAATCGAGACAACTCTCATATCATCATTACATGTAATACCTTGCCAAGAACAAGGGTTTGAATCTGAAGAGTTCCAATTAGTAAAAACAGAGTCATTCTTGTTTTGTAAAGATTGCTTAAAGGAAAGAAGAGCAAGACCTTGATCGTTTAAAGAAGTAGCTATGCCAAGAATGAAATGGGTTAGAATGAAACAGAGAATGAGAAATGATTGAGCCATTTCAGAAAGAGAGAAAACACAATTCTGAATTGAGTTAAAAGTTTCATCTATTACAAAAACAAGAAGTGTAGCTAGCTTTATTCAATATAGTGTTGCAATAGCTTGGACTGGCCTAGTTTTTTTAAGTCAACAGTTACAACTTCTTTGCAAAGATTTTTATATATTTATATGTGAATGGAGTTAGCGATGATTGAGGCGATCATTGGAACAGTAGAGGGCACGTAACGTAATGAGGAACAGCTTTGGTGGTTTCTAGTTGTTTAGTGGTGGGGAAATGTATTGACAATTTTAACTTGTTTGAGCATAAAAGTCAAATGTTCCACCAGAATGAGTTATTGTACCGGTTCGATTTGATTTGTTCTCTAGTTTACTTCTAGAATTGTTTGGTCTTTCTTTTTGGAGTCTTAATACAAATGTTAACTTTGCCCAAAAAAAAAGACAAATGTTAACTACAGTTTGAGGAATAAGAGTTAACATATGTCGGAACAATACTATTTGTAGTCAAATTCTTGATTCATGGCCAAACATTTTACTAGAACAGAACTTTAATTTCACAATTTGAAAAAGAAAAATTTAAATATTTCTACTATGATTTGTTACATAATTTAGTAAGTTTCTTTGGTTTAGTTTTACAAAATTTCATATGGACGACCATTTGATTACCAAATTTAAAAATAAATTTTTTAGATACAAATAAATAAATTTAAACTTTATTTATACAATGAATATTATATATACAATGAAAATAAAAAATAATAATACTTAAGAGGTTCATTCTAATTAAATTTGGTTTAAGGTTTTGATTTAGTTTGATTTTTGTTTTTATAATAAGAAAACTAAACTGTTATACCAAATTTATGTTAAGCTAGTGGCGAAAATGTAAGGTCGGATGATATTTGTTGGTTCAAGTATACAAAATATGTCACTTTGACACGTTTAACACAAAGTAAGAAAACCTTTAATAATATACATTTTATCTTTTTTAATAAGCGATTAATTATTTAAATTCAATGAAATGAGTTTCGGATTTATGCGTAAATTAGCAAATTTAGTGTAACAAAAAAACATTGAAAATGTGGAATGATATTTTTTGTGAAACATTTTTTTTCTTTATAATCACATACTTTGTGAATTAGAGGGAGTATAACAAAATTGCAATACTGTACTTATACACCTAAGTATACATAATTACAATAAAATTTGAATTAACAAACCGCTTACAAGCTATAGATTACAATGATGTGAAACTTATAATACAAGCAAACCAAAAAAAGAAAAAATTCAGTTACGGCAACAATATGATAAACTAAACTTATCATTGTTCTATAGAGGACTTACGCCTTTTCCTGCTGAAAAATTTCACCAAGTTTGGAACTTTCTTCTTCTTCTTGATTATAAAGAAACTTGGAGTTCCTCTGTTCCCTGATGAGTATCTTCTCGACTTCCCTCCTTGAACCGGTGTGAATTTCCCGCTAAGCCTTACTGATTTTCTTACCGGTCTAGAAGAGTTGATCAAGCCTTTGTCTTCTGAGTTCTCTCTGAACTTTTGAATCGATTTTCTAGTAGGTTTGGAAGAGTTGATCATGCCATAGTCTTCTGATTTCTGCTTGAACTTCTGAATCTCATCTTGGACAACTCTCTTTATCGATAGCGACCTATGCATCCTAAATGATGCCCTTTCTTCTTCCACCATTGTTTTCCCACTCACTCTCTTTAAAGATTCCGTCTTTATCATAATCGCGTTAGTGCTAGCCTTGAGTGCTTCGACCCACGCCATTGCAGCTTCCACTTTCTTCTCTGCAGTTTCTTTCGCGTGACAAGCTTGTCCACTCAAATACTCGTACTCGAATCTTGAGACTGTAATGGTTGAGTTTCTCTGAGATTCCATTTCCCGAGTTTCTATTGTTTTCTCTACCATTGATTCCAGCTTCTCTAGAGCTAAAGCCTCTGCGTGCTTTGCTTTCTCAAGCTCATCTAACTTGGAAAGCAACTCTTTTTCCTTTCCATCAAGTCCTAAGTCGGATTTTTGTATTTCATTATTGATGATCCTTGCTTCATCTTTAAGCTTAAGCTCCTCTTTCTTTGCAGCTTCTCTATCATTCTTGAGTTTCTCAAACGAAGTAGTTAAATTGTCAGCAAGAGAGCAGATTCTCTCTGAAGCTACAGATACTGCTTCTAATTGATCTTTCGCAATAAGCAGCTTGGAATTGAGTCTCTTGATCATTACATCATCCTTTTGTATCATCTTCTCAAACCGAGCTGTTTCTTGTTTGGTTTGATCAAGTTCTTGCCTCAATGTATCCATTGTATTGACTAGACAAAAGAGTTCTGCATTAATAGAAGCGAGTTCCGCCTTCTTCGCTTCTGTTGCTTCTGTAATCTCTTTCAAAACCGTTAAAATATCTTTTCCTCTTTCAAAACCACGGTTTTTCGATCTTGACATACTATCACTCCTCTGAACCTTCTTCTCCATTTCCTTGACAAGCTTCAACTGAGTTTCTAACATCTCAATATCCAATAAAGTCTCTGATAACTCATTCTCAAAGTTCTTTGACCTCTCAATCTCTTTCATCATTTCCCTTATTCTCTTCTTCCGTTTATTTAACGACTCAGACACTTCCTTTTGTTCTCTATCTCTCTGCTCCTCAACCTCTTTACATTCCTTCAAAGCCTCGATCTTCGCCAATTCAACCAAAACATGCTCTTCGTTCGCAGCATCCACCTCTAACTTAAGACTCTCTAACAACTTCAAATTCTCCTCCATTTTAAAACCTAACTCCATTACTTCTTTCTCCCCCACAGCTTTCTCTTTCGAAACATACGCTATATCAAGCTTCAGCTTACTCAGTTCTTGCTTCACATCTTCTAATTCTCTCATAATCCGACCATACCCGCTATTTCCATCTATCCTTGACTCTTTCATCACAGCTTCAATATCAATACTCCCAGACTTTAACCTGCGATTCGATTCCTCAACCCTTAAAGTAAGCTCCTGTACTATCCTCTTCGCCTTGCTTAACTCCGCTTCTGCTTTCGCCTTTGCAGACTCAGAAGCCCTTTTACTCTCTCTGTACATTCCAAGTTCTCTCCCTGACTTATGCAACTCCTCAGCAACCGAAGAGGACTGTTAACAAACAACAAAATTCACAAAATGAGAACAAAGAACAAAACTAGTTGAGCATTTCAGCTCATGAATCTCAAAACCAAAACTTTTAAGCAAAACCAAAACCATTTTTGCATTACTATGATAGAAATTACACATTTGTAATCTAAAGAAACGATCTTCAATTCTAAAAATCAAAACTTTAGCAAACTAAAAGCACAAATATGATAAAAATTACACATTTTTCTATCTAAAGAAACGATCTTTTGCTTCTTACCAATTGTATACAATTCTCAAAGTCAAAACTTTTAGCAAAATCTCAAAAAGGTTTGATCTTTGGGGATTCACCTTAACAACTGGCAAATCAAGCTGAGGAGAGACGCTTCGAGTAGCTCTTTGTCCGTACTTGTTAATGGCAGCTTTCACTGATACAATTCCACCTAAGTTCTTTTCAGCCATTGATATGTTTCTCCAAGGTTTCTACTGAAACAAAGCCTTAAAGAATTCAATCTTTTCTTCGGAAACTAAAAGTTACAGACAGAGAGGAGAACTTACAGGTGAGAAAGATGTTGAAGGAGGAAGAGAAAGGTTGATGATGATGATGTTGTGTGTTGCAGAGAATAAACAGAAGAGAAGGAGATGATGATGATTGGCTCACATCGAGCCTGTTTTTTTCTTATCATTTTTGTTTTTTTTTTCTCTGGAAAAATTAGAGAGAATTTATGAAATTTTGTTTCTTCTGTATATTGATCTGAGGCTAAGGATATCACAAGTAGCACAAACATGTACATGACATATTGACATGTGACTGAGAGAAGTTTTTTTTTTTTTTAACAATACAAATAAAAACAAGTTTCAAACAATTTTAAATAACTTATTGTTTTCATTGAATTTTAAATCTTATGTTAAATTCTAGCATAATTTCAAAATAAAATTATATGTTTTCATATATCATATTATTTTCTTAATATTAATGTGGATTGACATCCTATTTCTATATAATGAGTACGTATTTATATATATTTTCACAATCGATATTAACCATTCAGTAAGAGACATGTTTCTTATTAGAGGGGGGACAAATGAGAACGAGAAACAAATTATCATGATATATAATAAAAAAAATAGAGACTCCCAATAAAAATGCTCTACTTTTGCTAAAATAAAATACATAAAATAAATATAAACTTCAGAACCTAAGAAATTATTGAAAAATATATTTTCTAATTAAATATAAAATTTTTGACATATGAATTTTCAAAATGATAGATATCTCGATGTAAATATCACAATTTGATTGGTGATGCCCATATCAAAAGAATATCTATATATCATATGAACTTTATACAATGAAAAATTTCATTGAAGTAATCCATATAAATAAATAAATGTTAACTTGTAAAACTTCTCTTCTGATTTTAATTTTCTGAATGAACGTTAAATTTAGGGTGTTTATTATCTCACACAGATATTTCTCACTATATTTTTTTTGTAGGTAATTCAAGTTATTAACTAAAAACAATTCTCTATTCTAGATTCATTAACTCTTTCTTAATATTGTTTTTATTTTTAGGTTCTTAGGATCATGTACAAATGTCATTAATAAAGGACGATCTATGCTTAAAAACCAAGGCAACCATGGTATGTCAATACACTACTAATATATTAGGTCTAATCAATCTTACATCTCATATTTAAATAAAATAAAAGTATCGTTTAACATTTTTGTTCTCTTTTCTTTAGATTGTTTTTGGGCAATTGTATCTCCTCTCGATGTACGACACAACTTGGTTGATTTCACCAGACCAGAATAACGTTATCTTAGATAGCCAGCCCACTTTTGATCCTCTAAATGAAAAGATGCATTAAAGTTTATCAATAAGCAGGGAATTGAATGAGAAGATGCACACACTTTTCTCCAAACCTATGAAAAAAAAATGTAAATTTAGTCGAATATTCAAACTCATTAAGATACATCAAAGAAGCGATCACACTAGATATATTTAAATAACTTATTGAAGCATTACAACTTCATCAGTTCATCCCATTGTATGTGATATTCTGATTATCGAACATGATTATTGTAAAATAGGAGATGTAAGTTCCAAACATCTCACAAAAACCCAACACATGCAAGTTTTAAATATCCTAAAATCATATTTTTGTTTTACATATCAATTTCTTTCTTTTTGCAAGAAAAATTACCATTGACTCACCTAATTATCGAATTTCCCAATATGTGTCAAGCCATTTTCGATTTAGATCACATGGATGAAATTTTTTGGTTTTAAGGGAACGATGAAGATTGCAATTGAAGTTATATTATTATTTATTTTATTTTTTTTATTTTTTATTTTCTTTGAAGTTATATTATTGATGTGCCTCAACACTCGTACTAAAAGTGTTGTAAGTATGTGCATGGATGGTGTTGAATGTGATGTGAGTATATCAATTAGATAGATTAAATTAACAAATCATGTGTTTAACAAAAAGTGGACGTGCCGGAGTGGTTATCGGGCATGACTAGAAATCATGTGGGCTTTGCCCGCGCAGGTTCGAATCCTGCCGTTCACGTTTTTTGCATGCTCGTGTTTCACTTCGATCATTCAGTTTCTAGGTTCTTTTTGCATGAAGGCTACTTACGTTCACGTTATTTAACGATGCAAGATTCATGCATTTCACGTTATGCAATACAATACGATAACCAAATAAATACCAAAACATAACCTCAAAATGTTCCTAAGAACAAAAATATTACAAAACACACAAAACCATCAAACATGAAGGTCGTGACACTTACACTCGTCGTTTTCGTCATTCTTTCGACATCATTCCCAGCTGCCATCGAAGCCGCCGACGCTGGAGATACAGGAAACGTAGGAGTGACATGTGACGCAAGACAGCTTCAGCCTTGTCTTCCTGCGATTACAGGAGGAGGACAACCTTCAGGTGCATGTTGTGCAAAGCTTACAGAACAACAAACGTGCCTGTGTGGTTTCTCTAAGAACCCTGCGTTTGCGCAGTACATAAGCTCTCCAAACTCTCGTAAAGTCCTCTCTGCTTGTGGTGTTGCTTATCCCACTTGTTGAAACTGATCTAGAGAGTTTATAAATATATAAATGAAAAGGAAATAAATAACATTGATATATCAAACGTTTTATGAAACAATTCAACCCGTTTGTGTTAATGTACTTTGGATGGTTAAATAAAGTTTAATTTTCCTTATTGATATTTATATCTTTTTCTCAAAAATAACTAATTAAAAGCCTACGTATAATTAAACACACCAATGAATAATGTAATTCCTATGTGGAGAATGGAGATGTCACAAAATGATGATGTTAGGGGGCATGCATGAAACTGTGATGACTGATGATGACTCTCATATGTAGTACTCTTAAGAGTTTTGGCAGGAGGAAGATGTTGTATTCATATTAATATAACGAATATGCACCTGAAAATTTAGCTGTTACGAGGGAATCAGGAGAAAATGTTGATTATAAAGCCAAATTAAATAAGATGAAAACATTAATGTGACTTAAATTGGGTAAATTAAGAATAACTTTTTGAGTATTAATGATACATGACTACTAAGAGTATTTGGCTCATTTGAGAGATTTCTTAAAATGGAGCTTTAAGGCATGGATGAGGTTGGTTAATGGGTTTAAACGAGAGAGAGAAGGAAGACCAACATCAGCGGTGGAGACATTGTGGTGGTTACTTTGTAGATTTGTGAATACTCACTGAAATGATATTGCAATAAATTAAAATGTAATAATATGATCAAATTTCTTCTGCAATCTAATTTATTTCTATGTATATTTGTTTTATAGTTTTTTGACCAATTTATGGTAGGTTCTTGTGGAATTTAAAGACTAGTTGACTAATTAATAGGTTAGTTTTATTCATAAAATCACTAAATATAATGTTGATGTTCACAATAAAATAGTGATGAGTTATAATATACACTATCTAGCCCTCTACGAATTTTAACAAGTTTTTCATGTTAATATAATGACTAGGAGCTTGAGCACATAGCAGTATGAAAAAATAACCAAAAGTGTTGAATATATATAATGGCAAAATAAATAAGATAAAAACACTAAACATGAATACAATCAAATGAAGAATAACTTAAATTTTTATTAACCTACATAATGTTCAAAAATACTTGTGAATCCGCATAATTTTTTTTGTTGTCAACCACACGTAAATTAAAATATTACTCCATGATTGGTAGTCCAATCAGGAGGTAAATCGGTTACAAAAATAACTTCTAAATCAAGTGATCTAGATTACCAATCAAGTGAACGAGTAAGACAATTTGCTTTTTAATGACAAAAACGAGAAATCTTAATTAAAGAAAATGACACACGTAACAGAAAGAATCCGCGTAGTTTTATTATTCTCTATTCGTAAGAAAACTTTGCAATCACAAAATCAGTTATCAAACTATGTATTATTTCTATGAAAACCTACAACGAAGATAACTTGGATTAGCATTAATGACTTGACCACTATGGTTGAAATCACAAGCCTCTTCAGTCTCCCCATGCAAGCGGTAGTAATCATTCATCACATATGATGCATGAGTAGTAAGAGTATTTGGTTCATAGCAAACTCCACCAGGGCTAATACTTACACAATCAACAATTTCTATGCTGCATGCCCAATCAATATTAGCTTGTAGTTGTGCATCTGTCGCCGATGCAGCTAACACACACCATGTCTTGGCCGAGACATGAAACGGGTGGATTACGACGATAAATAAAAGCAAGACTAGTGTTAGCTGCTGAAACATTGTGTTTTGTTTCTTAATGACTCAAATGATTATCCAATACTATCTATATCATCATTTAAAACTTCTGAAAGTATTTTATTTCTATAGTATTATTATTATCTTTGACTAATTTATGATAGCTTGTTGTGTAATTTAAGACTAGTTGACTAATATTTTATAGTCTGCATTTAAGAGAGAAAATAACTCATACTAGATTTGAACCCGTGGTACACTGCCGGGAAAAATGTTTTTATTTTATTTTTAAATTTAATATTTCTGATATGCTGCAATTTTTATTTTAAAATTATTAAAATTACATATTATCAAACTTAATTAAATCAGTTTGATTCGATATGTTTTATATTAATATTATTAAAAAATAGTATAATGAAGTTAAAACCTGTTTTGAAGTATAAAATTTAAACTCATCCCGTCATATAACCCGTCACACAACCCGTCATACAACCCGGGTATAAATATCAGAAACACCAAGTTTTTAATTTTTTTTTAAGCTATTTAAATTAGATATTTTAATATATATTATATTTACTCTTACTATCATATTTACCAAACATATTGCTGCTTATTTTTACAATTTTCAAACACATTAATTTCTTTTAACATTTAGAGTTTCAAAATTTTTATATTTGACAAAGAATGTCTCTATTTATAACCCAAAAAAAAAAAGAATGTCTCTATTTAACATAACTTACTCTATATTAACAAGACTTTCATAATTAAAAAAAAAAACAAAACAGTGAACATTTGATTTATGCCAATTAAACCGTGAAGAACTTATTTATGCAATTTGTGGTGTTGGACAGTAAATTAATATATGTTTTTTAGAAAAATAATATTAATAATCCAAATTCTTCAAAAGTAAAAATTATATATAATGTTCATATACATTCAACTAACAATATTGATATTAAATTAAAAAAATGTCTCGCGGTACACCACTGGTTAGATCCTAGTGACTCAATTGATTATGCAATACTATATATCATCAATTAAACTTTCTGAAAGTATTATATTTCTATAGTATTATTATTATCTTTGACTAATTTATGAAAGTTTGTGGTGTAATTTAAGACTAGTTGACTACTATTTTATGTTCTGCATTTAACAAAAAAAGCTCATATTATATTTACTTTTACTATCATATTTACCAAACATATTGCTTCTTATTCTTACAATTTTCAAACACATTAATTCTTTTAACATTTAGAGTTTCAATTTTTTTATATTTGACAAAGAATGTCTCTATTTATAACCAAAAAAAAAAAAGAATGACTCTATTTAACATAACTTACTCTATATTAACAAGACTTTCATAATTAAAACAACGAAACAGTGAACATTTGATTTTTGCCAATTAAACCCTGAAGATTTTATTTATGCAATTTTTATTTCGTAGTTTTCTATATCCAATGCTTTGATTATTTTAAAATGCACATTAACTTTTTTTCTAGACTATAACTGAATGAAAATTATCAAGATAAAATAATTAATATACGACCAAATCATCAAGATAAAGTGCTTAATATATGACCCTTTTTTTAGCAACACTTAATATATGACTAAAAATGAATGAAAGTTAAAATTTCATTTTTATTAATTTTACATAACGTTTAAAAATACTTTTGATTCAATATAATTGTACCATTTCATAAAATAATACAAAATCATTCACCAAACCATGTATTCTATGCAAATATACAACCACCATAACTTGGATTAACATCAACGATTCGACCAGAATGATCAAAATCACACAAATCTGGAGTGGCTCCATTGAACTGGTAGTAATCATTCATCATATATGATGCATGGTTAGCAACAGTATTTGGCTCATAGCAAGGTCCTCCAGGACTGATTATTACACTACTCCCTGGTAATTTACCGCATATCCAATCAAGGGCAGCTTGTAATTGTGCTTCGGATGCCGATGGATCAGCCACACACCATTGCTTTGCAGAGACATGAAGGGAGTGAGTTGCAAGGAAAGATAGAAAGAAGATAACTGTCAACCGTTGAAACATTGTGGTGTTTTGCTTTGTAAATGATAATTCAAATGGTATTGCAATATCCCAATATACATACACATATATATAGTATGATAAATTTCTTCTAAAGTTAATTTATTTAAAGTTCGTTGACCAATTTATGGTAGTTTATGTTTGGAAATATAAAACTAGCTTACTACTAAAGTCAATGTACATTATGAAATGTTAATAGTGTATGAAAATATAAAGGGGTGTTATTGGTTTGTGATTTTTGTAGTGTTTTAATGACTTTAATTTTAAGAATTTTTGAGAAATACCCCTTTTGGTGTACCCCTTTTTAACAATACCTCATTTATCTATCCATTTTCAAAAATACATCTGTTTAATATAAAAAAATTATAATGTTTTATATAGTTCATAAGGTACTTCTATATAATAACTACTACTTGGAGTTTCGATACAAATATTTTAAAATGGTTTAAAATCATTTTATAAGTTTAATAAGGTTTTTAAAAGGGGTTATAAAGTTTTTAAAAGTTATTTTAACGCTATTTATGAAAGATATATAAATCTTATACACATACAAAGGTAATTTGTGTATATATTTATAAGAGTACACACATATTTGGATAAATTTCAACATTTTAGTGTGTTTTTGATAAAGTTTAAAAAGAGGGTATTTTTAAAAAGAAGTATATGAAAATGGGTATTTTTGAAATTCTCCTACTTTAAATATTATGTAGAATCTGTTGGTATTCAATCAAGAATTTATTATCTTACCAAAAAAAAATCTAGAGTTTATTAAACTCTTCTAAAGTTTGGTGTTTTTTTTTTTTTGTAGGATTTAAAGTTTGGTGTTATTAGTTACTGATTTTTGGTAACAAGTCATTTAAAATCGTCATAAATATATGGTTTATTGGATTCAAACTTTTATAAAGCCATTCAAAGTTTTATGTTATTCAATTAAAACAAAAGAATCTATGATTGTTGATGAATCCAATTATTATGTTATTCGTTTATGATTTCAAACATTTTTTTTTAATAAAAAAATCATGAAAAGCATCATCGAAATAGAGAGATTGTTTGTCAAACTTTACAATATTATAGAAATCTAACCAATAAGATTACATAAAACTCTCTAACAATTCTTTAGAATATTTCATTTATATACAATATATGTTTTATTATATTCATATAAATTTCTTAGAAAATCCCTTAACTTTCCCTTTAATTAGTTTATAAATTTATTATTATTATTTTTTGTTAACCACACATTAATTAAACTATATATTAATTGATTGGAAGCTCAAAAAAGAGGAAAAAAATACTTTACAATTATAACTTTATATTATATATTATTTTATTATTTCACAGCAAAATAATTTTAAATGTGTCATTTAACTAATTCAAATTATTTTATTTCACCCTCTAGTCGAATTCCATATTAATTTATCATATACATGTAGTTATCGTTTTGCACTTAAATTTAAAAGAAACAAAATATTTTATTCTTTGATATATATATGCTCGAAACTAGTTTGATTAGTTGTGTGTCATGTCATAGCTAGCACATATCACTTACTTATGATCATATATACCATGTTCAAGAATACTTTGATTCAGCATAATTGTATTATTCCTAATACTTTGCAGTCACCATTTATTATTTCTATGAATATCTACAACGACGATAAGTTGGATTAGCATAAATGATTTGACCACTATGATTAAAATCACAAGCCTCTTCAGTCTCCCCATGCAAGCGATAATACTCATTCATCACAAATGATGCATGACTAGTAAGAGTATTTGGTTCATAGCAAACTCCACCAGGGTTTATTTTTACACAATCAACTTTTTCAGTGTTGCATGCCCAATCAATGTTAGCTTGTAGTTGTGCATCTGTCGCCGATGCAGATGCCACACACCATGTCTTTGCCGAGACATGAAGGGGATGGATTACGACGAGAGGTAGAAGTAAGAGTAACGTGAATTGGGAAAACATTGTGGTGTTTGTTTGTAAAATGATAAACTCAAATGATATTTCAATATATATAATATGATATCTCAAAGTAATTTATTCCATAAGATTTTTATTTTATTTTTATATCTTAAAAAAATTAATGATTGTGTTTGTGGAGTTTAAGACTAGTGAATTTCATGAAAATTATCAAATATAAATTTATTATCTTAACATAAAGATTTTTTATGCTAGCAATTGTTATCATAAGTATTTATATTTATTAGATAATTATTAATTAAAATATAAAAGATATATTTATGAGCTGAGGAGGTGTATTGAACTTGATATTTTAGAAGATTTTTGGGTACTCTTAAATCACATGTTAACCAATTCATGACTTTTAAAAAGTCTTTTCGAATCTTATGTTATTAAACTTAAAATTTACATAAAGTCATTTAAAAAAAAATCAGGATCTCTTGTAATTCAATCAAAAATCTGTAAAACTCACTTTAAATCTATTGTCATTCATTCTGTTAAAAAAAAACACTTTTCAAACTGATTTTGATAGACTTTTTCTATCTTTTCAGTTCACGAATATGACTTAAAAGTTAAAACCCCATAACCATCTCTCAAATATGAGCGAGTCCAGCACATGAACATCTTCTTAATTTTGTTACACCAGTCATGTCGACCATTGGGATACTCAAGATTGTCATTTCCAAATGAAGTTTGTTTTAATCACTGAATGAGGTAAGAATCTGACGTAAGAAAACACAGAAAAATATTATAAGAAAAAATAGCTAAGTTTAAATAAATCATTTTAATCACGAAGTTTTGTTGACTTTTCCGTAAAATAGGTAAGTTTTGTTGACTTCATTTATTTAAGCATGACATTTAATTTGTGAATTATGAATCGATTTAGAAATTTAGTTTTTTCAGTTTGTTAAACAATGTCGTTTTGTGGTTTGAAACGGAAGCAAATCACAGATAGTTAACCCCGTCTTCGCAATTTAAGAAAAACTAAATGTCGTGTTTAAATTGGCTAAGTCAACAAAACTTACCTATTTTAAGGAAATATCAACATAAACTTTGTGATTAAAATGACTTCTTGAAAGTTTGGGATTAAATCGTCCCAAATTTGAAAGTTTGGGATTATTATGACATTTTTTCCAATGTTTTTTCATAATATTATATATTAAAATAAACAAAAATTTCTAGAATTTTTTTTGTTTGTTTTTTAACAAAATTTTCTAGAATGACACTATCTATAAAACAAAGTGATAGAGTTTATATATAGAGCAATCAACTTTCGTATATATATATATATATATATATATATATATTTCTAGAATATATATATAACTTTTCTACGATTTTTCTATTTGATTTATCCACCATTCGGAAAGAAAGTTATTTTAATTAAGTGAGTTTATATATATGAAGATCGTTTTATATATTCTGCATGCAGAAAGCAATCTCATATTATATATACTCGGCGATACAAAGGAAGCATATTGCTATATATAGTTTTACATATATATTCACCATGTGAGCAAATAGATATTATAACACTAAATTTTACTCCATGCAGGAAGCAAGGTGTTACTAAATTCATTAATTATATTCGTGTTATTTTATCAGAATTTGCCTAACTCCTTGGACAATTAAGAAATAAGTTTGGATAAGTGTAGGAGAACCCAACAAATGTTTGTTAATTATGTGACATGTTTTTATAGATAAATGTGGTTGTTGTGTCGTATCTAGAACAAATAATGACAATTAGAGCAACTATCAAAAATAATATATCAGGATATATAAGAAATAGGCGTATGATAAAAAAATAAATATATATTGCATTTAAAAAAAAAATTAATTAAAATTTGATATTAGTAGGACCTAATTGTACAGCTAGCAAATTATAAAAGATTAAACATGAATTAACAAAATTAGTATAACTGTTCTATTATTTTAGATTATGAACCATTGCATATATCTCACTTCCCTAATGAGTCAATGAACCAACTCTCATCATACGAATACAAACTATATATATTTGAACGGTTAGGAAGAATTTGCTTTAGTAAAGTAACTCTATAACCATTGGATACCTTGAAAATGATAAGTTATATATAGGTCTAGTACTGTACCTTTAAATAATTGTTGTATGCCTTGAAATAAACGTGCGACGAGTTTTACAACAACAATAATGTTTTTCATAATCATTCAATCTACATCAACATGAATAGTAAACAGTAAAAGGTGAACAGAGCCAAAACTCATTGAACCAATAGAAAGAAGAAGAGAGCTTTGGTCGTTCCTCTCCTCCTCTATAAATTTATCTTCCATTTTCTTCCCTTCACTCAAACTCATAACTTAAAGACCACTCGTGCTTCTTCATCTACACATAGAAAGATGGAGAATACAAACGTGAATGATCTATCTCAGATCCTCCCTCGTGTCCTTGTGGTCTCTAGACGCACACTTCGCAAGAACAAGTTTGTCGATTTTGTCGGTAATAAACCTTTTGAATGTTCTATGTTTTGTTGTTGAATATTTTGAAATTTATCTTGGCTTTTTTTTTTTTCTTGTTTAGGTGAGTACCATCTTGATCTTATTGTTGAGTATGGTGCTGTACCGGTGATTGTACCACGAGTAGCTGGTGTTCACAAGTTGCTAGAGAGCTTCAAGCCCATCCATGGAGTTCTACTTTGTGAAGGAGAAGACATAGACCCTTCTCTATATGAGTCCGAATTATCATCCCTTTCACCTCAAGAACTCGACGAGATTCGGAAAACACACGCAAGCGATACGGCTATCGATAAAGAAAAAGACTCTATTGAGTTTGCCCTAGCAAAGCTCTGCCTAGAACAGAACATTCCTTACTTAGGGATTTGTCGAGGATCACAGGTATTGTATCCTTGTGACCTTTTAGTAAAATATAAAGCTAAAGTTTTCTTGCCACTTAGAATTGTAGTTTGATTAACAATTCTAATGAAACTTGCATGTAGGTCTTGAATGTTGCTTGTGGTGGAAGTCTTTATCAAGACTTGGAGACAGAGGTCACAAATTACGTCTCCGAGGAGAACAGAAGAAACCACATAGATTATGATGACTATGATGGTTATAGACATGAGGTGAAGATAGTTAAAAACAGTCCTTTGCATAAATGGTTCAAAGATTCCTTAGATGAAGAAAAGATGGAGATCTTTGTCAATAGTTATCACCACCAAGGGGTTAAGAGATTGGCTCAAAGATTCGTTCCAATGGCTTTTGCTCCTGATGGATTGATTGAAGGGTTTTATGATCCTGATATGTACAATCCTGAACAAGGAAAGTTCCTAGTTGGTTTACAGTTTCATCCAGAGAGGATGAGAAAGAATGGTCTCGAAGAATTCGATTTTCCTGGTTGTCCTGTTGCTTATCAGGTTTGTTATTGAGTAAATGTTTTTGTCTTTTACATCGATTATTCGAGTTTGAATTGGGATGGTTACATTGAGTTCATGTTCTTTTGTGGTTTGGTTAATCACAGGAATTTGCAAAGGCAGTTATTGCATGTCAAAAGAAGCTGAATAGCTCATTGTCCGTTCCTAAGAAATTGGAACTCAATCAAGAAATGGAGAACAAAAGAAAGATACTTGTAAGAAGTTTCTCGCTTGCTAGGTCAATGTACACTAGATCTTATTCGTTGAATAACCAATCCATGGAATCAGAACTTGAAGTTGGAGCTGAGTTTCTTGAGGTACATTACTCCAAAACCTTTGTGTTATAACTAAACATAATCTTGACCCATATTATTGCAAGAGTCCAAGAGTTTAGGGGTCTTATTTGGCCTTTCGTATATGTAAGGGTTATAAAGTACTTATTATGATATTGTCGGCAAGGGTTTATTTAAGGTTTTTTTTTCTAATTTTTCATTGGTTTAACTTGAGTTGAAAAAAATTATATATAAAAAATATTGTATTAAGATTTTTTCAGGAATTCATTTAAATACTACTAAAATGAGTATTTTCTAAAATACAAATTTTATTTAAATTCTCGTTTTTTTCTTTATATCTTATCCCTAAAAATTTGAATGTAAAAGTAGATTATTTGGTTTGCTAAGTTCGGTACACTCCGCATCTAATCACGTATGTAAATAATTGCCCGTCACATTGGCTCATTTGAGCTGATTGTTGATTTGTTTTTGGATGACAAAAAAAAGTACATTTTTTCTATACATTATTTAGATAACTATATTTTTTCTATACAACAAATTTTGATTTATTGGGGTTTGGTCGAAATATTTAATTTCCAAAGTCAATGGAAATGTGACTTGATGACCATGGCTTAATAATAACACATGTTTGTTTCTAATTATGTGCATGGACGCAGTCAAATACGGCTCTAAGTGTGAAACAAGAGACGAGGCTGAAGGAGATGGGAGCAACGATGAGGAACGGTGGATCATTTACTGAGAAGCTAAAGCTTGATGAGGAGAAACAGAGGAAAGCTATGAACATAATGAAGAAGATGAACGTTGAGAGACTCTCTGAGCTCATCACTTTCTATCAGTTGATGGGGAAGATCTCTACTGAGGTGTTGGAGAGAAAGCTTCATGCCTCTCAGTCAATGAACTCAACTTCACTTCTCAATGACGTTAGCTAAAAATTAAGATGATGTATTGATTAATACTTAAATTTGGGTTTTAAAATATTTTTTTGTGTGTTTAAGTTTGTGCTTTGGAAATGTATTAATTGCATGGTTTTAAATTTTAAGTAGACATACGCCTTGCCATAAAAATTTATTTGTATAATTTGTGTTTATGCTTTTTTTTTTTTGCTTAATTATTCAATATTTTCGCTAAATAAATTTTTAACTTTTGGCATTATAAACTAAAAATTAATAATATTAATTCTAAACATAAATACCATACACATTACTACAAGAAAACAAGAAAAAATCTTTTACAGAATTTAACGAAAAAACATTTTTATTTTAAATTTACGAATTTTTGACGAAAAACTGAATTTTGTATTTAAAAAAAATAGTCGAGTGTAACAGTGGGGACCAAAGAAAGGTGGCGATTAATATACTATGATTAACAAATTATATTCATGAATATCGTGGCCTGAAGGCACATTTTATTCAATTATCTTCACTAATCATCCTAGTCATCAATTCAAATTGGATATGTATGAAAAAAAAGTTCACAAATAATACAATAGTTGGTCTGGATAATGTTAAGGTGTTTAATTTTGGGACATGGTGAGAAGACATTTAAACTTATAATAATAACATGCTTCATGGGGAGCCACCGTGTATGTATATAATATAAACTTGTATTCCTAATGGTGAATATATAAATGGACATGAAAAAGAAAATATGTGAAAAGATCCTCCTAGACTAATATTCAAGGATTCTCCACAGTCTAATCTGTTTTGTAGTGAGCATTTTCAGTGTAATGGAAGCTAAAAGGAAACTTCGGATGTCTTTGGTTAATACGTCAAAGAAAAAGAGATGAAGATATTTACTATAACGTACTGAGAAAGTAATGCTTGTTTGTGAGAAGCTTATCAAACTTCACATATAAGAGCGGCACTGTAGATTTTACAGGACAAGATTCATATAGACCGTACGTGTGACCCGATTCGTGGTATGAGTATTTAGTCGAGAGACTTGACCGCGATAAATATGAGATGGATGGGTTTGATGGCGACATATCATGACTTGGTCGGCTTAACTATGTTAGGTTTCGGGAAATGGCATCCTTCCTTAGTACTACTAGTACATTTAATGTAATGTTCCGTGTCGTTGCCGATATTAAATAGTGTTCGTGAATCTTAGAGAAAAGTTGAAAACTATGTGCTTATCCATGGTATCTTAGGAGTAGTATTTGCATAAGAAAATATCTTGTGCAAGATACTCTGATTGCAAAAATGTCTAGACTATGATTCATGCTTCATACAATGTTTTGTCAAAACTAACCTAATAGTGTGTGTTAAGAGAATTTGGTTTGCTTAAGAACAAAAAGCAAAAAAAAAAACAGAACAGAATACGAAAGTCTTTTTAAGTAAACTAATACTGACATCCCAAGTCGCTGTTTCTGTCATTATCTTCATTTTTGACTTGGTCGTCAGGCCATTCACAGTTTCCACCTCATCTTTATGCTTACCTCTCTCTCTCTCTCTGTTTAAATCACTTCCTTTTGCTCTCCTCAACACAAACCAAACCCATAAGACTAAAACACACTGTTCAGAGATTTCAAACAAATCATGAACTATCTCCTCACTTCTTGTCTGTTCTTTTTCTTCCTCCTCTCCTTATTTCATCCTCTTCCTTGTGCTTCAGGTAAACAAGAACTAGGATTGTGCCAAGATAAGTTTCAATGTGGTAACATCACCGCTGGTTTCCCCTTTTGGGGAGGGAATCGTCACAAAGATTGCGGACATCCATTGCTCGAGCTTCACTGCGACAGAGAAAACAACAACACCTCTCTAATCATCTCAAAAGAAAAATACTCTGTTTTTCAACTAAATCAAGAATCTAACACTCTTACACTTGCCAAAACAAAGCTTCTAAGCTCTTTTTGCTCTTCTGTGACCTCTGAAACATACTTGCCTAAAGAAACTTTCGAGCTTTCGCCAACCTACAAGACCATCCCCGTCTTCTACCTCTGCATCTCTTCTACTCATAACCTTTACACTCATACATGTCCTCAGATGGGTTCAATCTCAGCGTCTGAAAACCCTCAATATCATAAGACCTGCCTTCAAAGTTTCAATGTGTATGTTCCAACGAGTTTCGTTACAAAAGAGAAAGAGTTGAATATGACCAATTTGAAAAGGGTTTTACAAAAAGGATTTGAAATGAAGGTGAAGATCAATAAGAATGCGTGTCAAGATTGTGTATCCTCTCATGGAACTTGTAGCTTCGACGAAACATATCCATATGAATTTAATTGCATTCCTCTCCATCCACTCCATCATCTAACTGGTAAGTTTCTCAACCATCACTATCATTTTCTTATACAACTTATAAGCCTAAGTATCTAAGATATAATATTATTTTCTATACTACTAATTTTGATATATTTGCTTAATTAGAATTATAACATTATTAATCAAATGATCTTAACTAAATGCTAAGTAATAAGACTTGAATGAAAAATAAACAGAGAACAAAAAAAGTCTGTAAGTAAGTAAACGAATACTGACATCCCAAGTCTTCGCTTGTTGTCACTATCCTTACTTAGCTTGACTTAGTCTTTAGCCCCTTTAACGTTTACACCTCATCTTTATGCTTATCTCTCTATCTCTATATTTTTTTATTTTCACTTCCTCTGTTCTCCTCAACACAAAACCAAACTCAGAAGACACTCACTGTCTGTACATAGATCAAACAAAGTAACAAATCATGCACTATCCACCAAGTTCTTGTTTGGTCTTGTTCTTCCTCTTCATCTTATTACACCATCTCCCTTGTGAGTCAAGTAAACATGAACGGTGTGAGACTTTGTTCGAGTGTGGGAACATAACTGCTGGTTTCCCCTTTTGGGGAGGGAATCGTCCTAAAGATTGCGGTAATTCATTGCTCGAGCTTCACTGCGACGAAGACGTCACTTCTCTATCCATCTCAGATCAAGATTTCAATATTTTACAAATCAATCAGACATCAAACACTCTTACACTTGCCAGAACAGATCATCTAGGATCATTTTGCTCCTCTACATTCACCAACACAGCCTTACCGCCCGAGCTTTTCGAGCTTTCCCCAAACTACCAAAGCCTCACTGTTTACTACAATTGCATCTGTCATGATCCTTACCTTTCAAAGAATACATGTCCTAGGTTAGGTAATTATTCAGTGTCTCAAATCCCTAAATATAATGAGTTCTGCCACGACAAGTTCACTGTGAACGTTCCTAAGAGTTTCGTTCCGGGAGAGAAAGAGTTCAGCTGGACCAGTTTGGAAAATGTTTTATGTAAAGGATTCGAGGTGAAGGTAAAGATCGATGCAAAAGCATGTCAAGATTGTTCATCCTCTCTTGAACACTGTGAATTCAACAAAGCCTTGCCATTAGGAGCTAAGTGCAGTCCACTCCATCAACCAACTGGTTAGCTTTCTTATGCATTACTATTATCTATTTAAAACCAAATAGTAAGCTTTATAAATTATATTTCTATGAGTTTGACATAGTCGGGACCGTCCATTAACTTTAATGAGTGCATCCATAACCACATAGTGTTCCCACAATTCCCTTAGAAAGAGAGTTTCAAAATGGTAATATAAGTCTTCCAAAATCTTAGCTTTAGACAAAAGAGAGAAAACAAAGAATAAAAAATCTTTCAAAGTAAACTAATAATGACACCCCAAGTCTTCTCTTCAACTCTCTCTCTCTCTTTGTTTAAATCACTTCCTTGGCTCTCTTAACATAAACCAAACCCAATAGACACACTGTTCATAGATCTCAAAGAAGACAAAACATGTACTATCTCCCCAGTTCTTGTATGTTCTTGTTCTTCCTCTTCTTCTTATTTCAACATCTTCCTTCATCTTCAAGTAAAGAAGAACCAGGGTGGTGCAAAGCTATGTTTCAGTGTGGGAACATCACTGCTGGTTTCCCCTTCTCCGGAGCAAATCGTCCTCAAATTTGCGGTCATCCATCGTTGGAGCTTCACTGTTTTAACAACAAAACCTCTATAATCATCTCAGACCATCTTTACAACGTTCTTCATATAGATGAGAAATCTCACACTCTTAGACTCGCTAGAGCAGAGCTTGAAGGTTCTTTTTGTGAAGCTACATTCACATCCACAACCTTGCCTTCAGAACTCTTTCAGCTTTCGTCCACCTACAAGAGCCTCACTGTTTTCTACCTCTGCGACTCTAATCTTTCCTACAGTTCCTCTTATACATGTCCTGGTAGAGGCCTTGTCTCAGTGTCTGAAACCCTTGATTATCAAAACTCTTGTCAAGCCAGTTTCCCAGTTAATGTTCCTAAGAACTTCCTTCTAGAAGAGAAAGAGTTGAATTTAACACACTTGGAAAAGGCTTTAAGAGAAGGGTTTGAAGTGAAGGTAAAGATTGATGAGAAAGCTTGTCAAGAGTGTTCATCCTCCGGTGGAACCTGCGGCTTTCAAAATTCAACACAGATTTGCTGCAAAGAATCCTCACCGTCAAGTTGCTATAAACTCCATTCACTTAATGGTAAGTTTCTTATACATATTCATAGTTTCAGTATCCAACTTCTTTTTCTCTTTTTTCTTATGGTTTAATTGTGAGGTTTTAATAAGCTAGACCCTCCCAAGAGAAACTCAAACAAGGAACCTAAGCAACACAACCTTTAGAAGAATCTAGATAACACCACCGCATGATCCTAATATGTCATTTTCATATTCTATTCTACCCTATCACATATCAAATCATCAACCATAAATCAAGAAAGTGATACAAGATATCTAAACTTTCACTTGTTTGAATCTTCTTCTATATCCAAGTCCCAACCAAATTAGCATTAACTTAGGCATATTTAGTCACTCTCTTAAACTAATTGCCTTATCCCACACTCCATTATTTTTTTCTTTCTCTCCCACAATCTCTTTAGATTCTCTAGAACTGATGATAAAAACAATGGACCAAAACTAGGACATGGTTATTGCTCTGGTCAATTTATGTAAACAATAGGGTCCATTAGGTTCTTTCTTAGAAAATTCCACCCACCTGACTTTTGAAGTTGTCGTACAAAAAGAAAGAAAACAAAACTATAGAAAAATCCAAGTTTGTATAGTGAGTCCAAGGTGAGAACTCGTTTTTATATTCTATAAACAAGAATGATAATTGATAAGACTCGTTATCGTTTACCATTCAAAGTCGTCGTCGTAAGTCACCTAATTTTTAAAGAAACTTCGATTTAGAGAAAAATATTAAATTCGAGAAAGAAACGTTTTATATAAAATATTGAAAGTGAAGGTTGGTCCAGAAAGACCAAACATGTTCCTTTCGTTCAACTCTTACAAAAGAAACCAAAGACAGTTTCCTAATTGCTTCATCTCTTCGTCTTCTTCTTCTTCTTCTTCTTCTTAGATCTTGACCGTTTTTTTTAATTCACCTGCAATACGATGATCCATTTGTCTCTTTCTGTGACGAAGTCGATGTCATATAGCTTTCTTCTATGGATGTTTTTTCTGATTCCATCTTGTGTTTTCTCAGCTAATAACTCTCAGATTCACAAACGCTGCAGTGGCTCGTTTAGCTGTGGCAATCAGACAGAACTCTTTTACCCTTTCTGGAAATCTGGTGGTAGAGAAGACTGTGGCCACCCTGAATTCAAGCTCGACGACTGTAGCGCAGGATTCCCAGAGTTTAGCCTTTCCTCTGTGAAATTCAGAATCCTAGAAGCGGATTATATCACTGGTATCATAAGACTTGCAAGATTGGATTACACAGAAGATATTTGTCCCGACCATCCTATAGATGCACCATTCAACGGAAGCATCCTTCCATTTGCTTCTAACACCAAGCTGCTGACAATTTACTCCCATTGTAGCAATGACTTACCATACCCTGTTCCTACTAATGTTAAAGAGCTTGCTTGTGGGGATGAGACTGATGATGAAATAAGATATTACGTGACGAGGGACCTCTCATTCTCTCCTCTTGACCAGATTTCTACTCTTTTAAACGAATTCAAAAGATATTGCGATAGAAACGTCAGTATTCCTGTATCTGGACCAACACTCAACACTCTGCAGCTAACTTGGAGTAGAGATAATCTAAAGAAGGCTTTTGAAGACGGTTTCCAGCTTGGACCTAACCAAGAATGTCCGAAGTGCATTGAATCTGGCGGTGCTTGTGGGTATAATCAGAGCTCAAGTAGTTTCACCTGCTATTATATGGAAGAGCCACATAAAGGTAAGATTTCCGACATGTTATAATTGAATAGCCTAAATGCTCTTCCACAAGAATCATCATTTTTCCCTTGCCTACGATCTCCCCACCCACCTCCCTTTTGATTGGTTCATCTACATCAAATCCTTTTAGTTTCTTATAACTCTAATACATAAACTCCCTTGAGCTGCAAGTTTTTCATTCACGTAAGATTCAAAGTTCTGCATTTGCTTCAAACTAACCTCGTTTCTGGTGTCATTTCAGGCCTCTCGACTGGAGCAATAGCAGGTACTTCACCTTTTCCCTTGGCGACACCTAATTTGATGACAATATATACAGCATAGACTTACTATGAAAATCGTTCTTCTGTTTTCTTCTCCAGGCATTGTGGCTGGTTCTATAGCGGGTTTGGCCATTCTTACACTCGCATGTTTAGTCTGTTTCATCAGACGGAGAAGGAAGACTCAGGAAGCTCAATACACAAGCAAGGACTTGCCGATAACGTCTTACTCGAGTAGAGAAACATCAAGAAATCCAACTTCCACAACAATCTCTTCCAGCAGCAATCACTCTCTTCTTCCATCACTCTCTAACATCCCAAACGGAAGCGACTACTATGGAGTTCAAGTCTTCAGCTACGAAGAACTTGATGAAGCAACTGGGAATTTCTCTAGAGAACTCGGAGATGGAGGCTTCGGTACAGTCTACTACGGTAAGGATCCAGTACTGATTCATCAATCTCCTTAAACTCTTTTGAGTTTTGAATTTTAACATCTTTTGGCAATCCTGTAAAAGGCATATTGAAAGACGGACGAGCTGTAGCGGTGAAACGACTCTACGAAAGATCACTAAAACGCGTAGAACAGTTCAAGAACGAAATCGAAATCTTGAAATCGCTAAAACACCCGAATCTAGTAATCCTCTACGGATGCACATCAGGACGCAGCAGAGAGCTCTTACTCGTCTACGAATACATCTCAAACGGAACTCTCGCCGAACATCTACACGGCGACCGAGCAGAAGCTCGTCCTCTCAGCTGGTCAACCCGACTAAACGTCGCAATCGAAACCGCAAACGCATTATCCTACCTCCACAAATCAGGTAAAAACAAGATCAACCCATCCCAAATTCACAAAATCTCAGCAAAATTCTCACAATGTGATTCCTTTTACAGGAATCATACACAGAGACGTCAAAACTACTAACATTCTCCTAGACGATAACCACCAAGTCAAAGTAGCCGATTTCGGACTTTCACGGTTGTTTCCGATGGATCAAACTCATATCTCCACCGCACCACAAGGCACACCAGGCTATGTAGATCCAGAGTATTACCAATGTTACAGATTAAACGAGAAGAGCGATGTATACAGTTTCGGAGTGGTACTAACCGAACTAATCTCATCAAAAGAAGCAGTAGACATCACACGACACCGCCACGATATAAACCTCGCGAACATGGCCGTATCCAAAATCCAGAACAACGCGTTACACGAGCTCGTGGATCCGAGTTTGGGATTCGATAAAGATCCGGAAATTAGGAGGAAGATGATGTCGGTGGCGGAATTGGCGTTCCGGTGTTTGCAACAGGAGAGAGAGGTTAGACCTGCGATGGATGAGATTGTGGAGATTTTGAAAGGGATTAAGGATGAGGAGAAGCGTGTGGTGGTTGTGGAGTCGCCGGATGTTGTAGATATTGAACGCGGTGGTGGTGGTGGTGGTGATGATGTTGGGTTGTTGAGAAATAGTATTCCGCCGCCGATTTCGCCGGATACTGATAAGTGGACGAGTAGTTCTGATACGGCGGCGAGTTTGTAAATTAGGTTCGTCCGTGACGTCACTGTAAGTGTCTTTTTTTAAATTAATGTATTATTGTTTTGTTTTTTGCCAGACTTCTATTAAAAATGGACTTATTAGTTTTAATACTTATCACTATTTTTGTGATTAAGGTTTTTTTTTGGTTACTAGAGATGTACATGTTACTTGAATAATCTTCCTATTCTATATGTCATTACAATATTATAGTTTTTTTTTTAATTACAATTTTTTATTTAGGCAGGGGTTTTGTTTTGTTTTGTTTGTTTAGACAAACAAAATACAAAGTAACTAAGCTAGAGAAAACAAAATTTATATGTAAAATTAAAAATAGAATTTTGAGATCCAAAAATCGAATAAAAAACACTAAAAGACTAGACTAATAAACTATACAAAAATAACGATAACATTTAACCAAAAAAATAATTTTTAATTGAAAAACAAAAAAAGTTTATATATGAATTTGCTCGTTTCGATTGTTATTTTTTTCATCTTTTGGTTGTTGCAAGTTAATCCTGCGACGAATACTATATTTGAATTTTCTAACGTCAATTTGATTTTAGCAGTAAAAACGTAAGCTACGGTGACGAAATGAACATATCATATAAAGAAATATCGATAAAATTTAATTACTATCCATGCTTTTGTGTTTTAATTGTAGATTTGTAAGTTTGAAAAATAATGAACTAAGCCCCTATTCATATTTAAGTATAAAAAAATAATTTTCGTCCATATTTTAAAATGAAATCTAAAGAGTTCACTATATATTCTCTTTTTTTAATATTCCTTGATTCATACATATCTCAGTAGTTTTTTTTCTTCTCAAAAAGCTACATTTTACATTTTTAGAAAAATCAACCCCATGATTTAATTTAATATATATAAATACAAAAAGAAATATTCGCTGGCATATAAAATATCATATCATAACCCAAAAAAATATAAAAAATAAAAAAATAAAAGTAAACAACACTCTCATTCTAACTGCCACGTGTAACCTATCTTCTTCAAGAATGGTGCCGATCCTAGTCACACCTTATTCCCTTTACCTCTTCCCTCCTCCTTCCACTATGAGTACTCTCATTCTCATTCTCACTCACACGAAGCAACGAATCTCTCTATCTCTTCCTCCAAATCAAAACCAAATCTCAAATGATCGAATCACACAAAAATGTCTCTGCAAAAATTCAAGCTTCTCGCTACTCATTGCAGCACCGTCGCGGAGAGTCCAACGCGTAGTCCAGTAATCCACCTCCGCCGTCGTAAAACGCTGCGTTTGTTACTAACAAGATCATCTTCAGATCGGTGGAGGTTACCTGAGATCCAAAACAACGTAGATGAATCGACGAAATCTGATAAGAGAGGTAAGATCCGATCTCGACGGAAGCTTAGAGAGCTTTTTGTTTCGTCGCCTCCGTTTGAGAAAAGTGTCGGCGGTGGCGGAGGAGGCGATAAGGGGAAGAAGAAGATGGAGGTCGAGGATGATGACGGCGTTAATGATAATAATAACGGAGGTGGTGGTGAAGAGATAACGGCGGCGAGGAGTGTAGTGGGCTTTACTGGGTCTGTTAGGCCCATGTCGTCTGTTACACTACGATGTAGGTTACTTCGACGAGCTTGGCGTCCCGTTCTTGTAACTATTCCTGAACAATAATAATTAAACTCTTGTAACAAAAATAAAACTTAATTTAACATTTTTGTCGGTTGTTTATATATTCTTGTTCTTGATTTTGCCAAATTCGTTAAGTCTAATTCATTTTGTGAAAAATTTATGACAAAAATTTGATAGAATGGTTCGTATTTGTATGAATTTTGTATTTGATATTTTAAATTTGGTGACACGCTAAGTTTATCATTTATGGCAAAATACGAGAATAAAACCTTGGTTTCTACGTTGTCACTTGTCACCATTATCATTATGATTAGATAAGTTAGTACTAATTTGGGCAAGTAGATAACATACTTGTATTCAACAATATTTCAGCTTCATTTGATGATTGGCCAATATAATTTCAAGACGATTTGCTTTTTGGAATGCATGAGAGATATAGGCCATGTTCGTGGAAGTGTCGTCGCGATAACGATAGCAATCAGAAGACCCGGACTAAGACAAATAACATACTAATTATTAAAAGAAGTCGTTAGAGACGAAAATCACCATAACTAGTTTCGGAAAAAATGTTATTTTTTGCGACTGATAGTTTTCAGAATTCAAATCCGTCGCTACAATTAAAACTAAAAAGATTGGAGGATTAATCTTCTATATCTTCTTCAATTTGTTTGAATTTGGTTGATGTCGAGCAATTCGATGCAGAACATGATGCAGAACATCTTATAGGCATTTTTGGTCATAATCTTAGTCCTATCCATTTCTTAGAAATGCTTGCAACCTAAAAAGATTATAGTTTTATGAAAAATATTGTGTATGGTGACTTGTAGAAAATAAATATTCTAAACTTATAAAAAAAATTCACACCACATATATATTTAGCAATGATATGTATTCAATTTTTAATGATTTTCCAAAAAAAAAAAAAATACACACATAAAATCTCTTCAGTTTCATTGACTCTAAAAAAAACTCATCAGAAATCACCAACTTATTTTTTTCTAATAATTTTTTATAATAAATAAATGACATGTGTTTTTAATTTATAATAAACAAGAAAATAATGTTAAAAAGGAAAAAAAGAAAAAACTAATCAAGAAATAAGAAAAAAATCACAGCATGGAGAATCTCCACCCACCAATAAAATCATTTCCCGATTTTGACTTTTAAAAACTTTTGACAAAAAAAAAACGCATATTCTCAAAAAACATTCTCACATTTCTCCCATCACCCAAACCACGCGCCGCCTCTACCATCTCACGCGCCGCTGTACGATTTCAAAATCATCCATCAATCTCATCCTCTCCTTCTCCCTTATCCTCCTCAATTCCCCTCTTCTCTTTCTCCATCTTCATACCCTCAAGATCTCACAAAAATCATAGGGTTTCAACTACTTATAGAATAAAAGAGTCTAATTTATGAATTAGAATCCACCATGGGAGGTGTGACATCATCGATCGCTGCAAAATTCGCGTTTTTTCCACCAACGCCACCGTCGTACGAGGTTGTAGCCGACGATAGCTGCGGCGGACGTTTATACATACCGGAGATTCCTCGTCGCGATGATGTCGATGTCTTGAAGCTTCGTACACGTTGTGGCAACGAGATCGTTGCTGTTTATGTTAAACATTCGAAAGCTAATGCCACGATTTTGTATTCTCATGGTAACGCTGCTGATGTGGGTCAAATGTTTGAGCTTTTCGTTGAACTCAGCAATCGCCTTCGTGTCAATCTTATGGGGTAAAAGAGTCTCTCTTTGTCTCTGTGTCTCTGTCTCGAGTTTGTTTTATGATTTGAAATCCCAAATTGTTCGAATTGAAGCAGTGTTGGTTTGTGTTCTTGGAATGATATGTGATAGTTTGAAGAATCAATCTTTGGCAAAATTAGTGCTTTAGTGTTAAAGTTTGAGTCTTTAACCCGCTTGGTGGATTGGTTGAAGGTTTCGGGTTTCAGGGCGTAAATTCGCAGATGTTTGGGTTGGGAATTTGATCCGGATCATAGTAAAGATTAGGCTTTTTCATTAGAAAGATTTGAGCTTTGCTTTGTTTTATAATTTGCCAAAACTTAGGATGTGTTGATACATTGTCATAGTCTCATAGATATATCATGACTTTATGTTCAGAAAACGATTAGTTGGATTGGTTAGTGTTCTTATTATAACATGTTAATTGAAGAATCAGTGCTTTATAGCTTCAAAGTTTGAGTCTTTAAGATTCGAATCAGTAAAACTTTCCTTAGCTTAAGGTACTTTGTTACCTCTTTTGGAATGGTTGTGTATGTTGAGAAGTCTTTAACATTTCAACTCTCCTTTTGTGATTGATTCATTTCCATCTAAAGATTTTCTACTTGACTTTGTGTATTGCTTTCGTTACTGTGGATGATATTTATCTCATATACGAGGGATTATTTGATTGTTTTGTAATAAGTCTATTGGGTTTTGTTTCCCAGGTATGATTACTCTGGTTATGGTCAGTCTACTGGACAGGTATAGTCTTACTATTTTGTGTTATGATATATGAACTTTAGACTTCCTCGAGTTGTTTCTCATTGATATAGACCTGGTATATGAATCAGGCAAGCGAGTGTAACACATATGCTGATATAGAGGCATCGTATAAATGCCTCAAGGAAAAGTACGGTTTAAAAGACGATGAACTGATATTATATGGTCAATCTGTCGGCAGTGGACCTACGGTAGATCTAGCTTCGCGCACACCTAATTTGAGAGGCGTGGTGTTACAGTGCCCTATTCTGTCTGGGATGAGGGTCTTGTATCCGGTGAAATGTACATATTGGTTTGACATTTACAAGGTGATTTACTAGACATCAAAGTTTGTTTCTGATTACATTTATAGCGTTTAATAACCTGCGCAAGTCCATGCTTTTCAGAATATTGACAAGATCGGCTCAGTTAACTGTCCTGTACTAGTAATTCATGTAAGTGATACCATCGTTTCAGTTCTTGCGTTTCTTTGGCTATATTATTGCTTCCATTTTCATTATGAGACCCGTGCTTTTTATAAGAGCGCTTCTCATTAAAAGAGACAATAAAGTGATGAACATCAGCACTTGAAGTTTTGAATGCATGTCACTGAACTCTCTTGTTGGTCTTTTAGGGAACTGCGGATGAAGTAGTTGATTGGTCACACGGGAAACGGCTCTGGGAACTCAGCAAAGAGAAGTATGAACCTTTGTGGATAAGTGGAGGTGGACACTGTGACCTTGAACTCTATCCAGATTTTATCAGACATCTGAAGAAATATGTTGCATCACTTGGCAACAAACAAGCAGAGGAAGCTGCCGTAAAGTGAGATCACTGATAGAGGGGATTCTAAAAACAGTCTAGAGTCTCTAGACAGTTGGCTGGAGGAGTCCGGCGATAAGTAACAAGCCTGAGAATCCAAATGAGAGCGTTGATAGGTTTAGAAATTATTAAATGATGATAAAGAAAGGTTCAAGTCTGGTGACAGAAGGGTTTAATCTGGAATGTAAACAAAACTGTATGTTACATTTTATGAATAAATGTATTTTGCTGATTTTATGCTTTTGATATGGTTCCAACAAGGTTTCATTATGTGACATTCATTGATCATACTTCTGTGTAAACCAGAATATTCTAACAGAGCCTAGAAGATTCTTGAAGAGGCACTTGAGGAGTTAGAAAAATAGGCCTAGGACAAGAGCATCATCAAGATTTGCTTCTGTCATCTCTATCACTCTCTTCATCGCTGGGCGATGTGATGGCCGTATGATTGATTACACAGACAAACCCACCAGGGAAGTTATTGCAGAAATTTGGAGTGTGGAATAAGTTAAAGAACAAGAAAGAAAATGTAATAAGTGAAAGAGACTAATGCTAAGAGCTTAAGATAATGCCAATTCTCCCTTGACCTCACTAGTACGTAATCTATGTCTTTAAACGTGTGAAAGATATATAAGAACAGATATATCACTTTAGAAATGCATTGTGGTCTATAGATGATAGAGGTTCAAATTTAGGATTGGGAAAAATGTCATTAAATTCATGAACTTGGTCATTTACGCCAATTAACCTATGAAATTTAACGTATGCCATTTAAACCATACATATACATTGACTTGCAGATTAAAACATGAAACAGAGTTAACCAAGCCAAAAACAACATGTCGTTAAGTCCGATAACAGAGTATTTAATGTGTATGTATGGTTTAAATGATATACGTGAAAGTTCATGGTTTAATTGGCGTAAATGACTGAGTTCATGAATTTATTGACATTTTCCCCATTTAGGATTTAGGTTTCATGCTTTCACATTTGTGTATTTAGACACTATCTTTTTTTTTTTCTTGTTGTCAATGTGTTCTGGACGCATATCACAGTGAAAAGTTAGAACTACTAGTCTCAATGAGGTTGTTGTATCTGTATCTGATAAGTTTAGTACTTTTCAAGTATAAACACTGCCCTTCCATAGGATCGGGCTATGATGCCTAGAGAAGCATTTTTGGACAAGAACATTAAGCTTCAAATTTGTGAATACTGATTGCTTGAGTATTTACACGATACATTTAACCGCAAGACATTATATTTGGGATCGGCAGTTCGATTAAATTAATGGATTAAAATAAGCTGACTTGTTTAATAATTTTGTTTTTTTTATTAATCATAATTAGTAAATAAAGATCATACAACACTCATCATAATACCATCATCATTATTATGTAGACAACATGTATAAATCAATATCTTTTTTCGTTTGAAAATTTGAACACATTTGATAGGGAATAACTTATATAACTTTACCAGTCTTCTTACAGGGCCACGTGCAAGTACATACTCCACCTTCACGCTTGCGGTTACATTGGGCCGTGTAACCTGGTCCATGACCATAAACGCTGCATTTTTGTGTACAATGCACGCAGTTGCCAAGTTCCGCTATACACTGTCCTGTATTCTCCTTAACTATATTTATATTTAAAAAAAACTTAGTTATATAATATTAAGATAACAAAAATTATTAATACTTACAAGTTATCAATTAAGTAAAAAACAATTACAGTAGAACTAATTTGACATCTTTGAAGTAAACCACAAACATAAAAGTATATCTAAGACTAATAGCTCTCGAACAATACCCAAATTAAAATTACCAAACTGAGATTTTTGGTTTTTGGTACGGTTTTTAATTAATAGAAGATAGTTGATCGGAAAAAAATATAATTTGCAACTGGTTTGGATTGGTTTTGGTTTGACCTTAGGCTAGTTCTAATTTGCAATCGGTCTTAGGTTAACAACACAATGAATTTACAAGTTTACAATAATAAAACTTACCTAGGGAAAACATCATGACAAGAAAGATGATAGAGATGGCAAGTGAAGAAGTTGCTTTGGCCATTTTCTTTCTTTTCTCTTAAGTTGAGCTACTTGTATACTGAGATTTATAGACTTGAAAATTTTGAAAGGCTACATAAAGGAGATTTATAGAATATCAAAGATGATTTGCTATTGCATGTTTGGAATCAAATAGTATTAATTTGACTGTACTTAAGATGATAATCTTATATAATTAATATGTCAAGATTTTTCTTAACTTTGTCTAATAATGTGAGATTTGCCACCCTATTTAAATGACAAATGTCCTTTGAATTTGATTTTTTCCCTCATATTTACTCTAGTTCTCCCCTCCTCAGTTTAAAAAGAAACGAATTACATTACAGTTGTTAGATTCTTTTAATTTATTAGTTCTAAATTAACTTATTGTAAATGTTGTCACTTATTCTTTATGTTAATGGTGATAATAAAGGTAAAATATATGGAAATACAACATCAAATTAATTTGAATTGATTTTTCCCCTCATATTTACTCTTTATCCTCCCCCATTTTAAAAGAAATGATTTACATAACAATTATTAAATTATTGTAATTTATTAGTTCTAAATTAATGTATTATAAAATTATCTTATACAATATGACAACGTTTTTTCTAACTTAGTATAATAATCCGACATTTGACACTCTGTTTAAATGACACATGTTCTTTAAATTGATTTTACCCCTCGTATTTACTCTATATTTCCCACATACTCTACATATATGTGTTATTTATATTCATGCATGCATCTAATTTATATAATCTTCATCATGTATTTGATTATTTGTTGACTCATTTTATGATCTCATATGTTTTGACCATTTGTAGTCCAGATTCTTTTTAGTCAGTTTCATATAGATTTTTCCTATGTGTTATTCTTATATTTTTTTTGTCAATTTCCTTCTTTTTTTAGTTCGTGCATGCACTTAATTTCTTATATATATATCATATATTCACATTTACAAAACCATTACAACCATCACTTTTCATTAGAAATTTTCATTTTGATAATATATATCATCAAAAATGTCTAAAGCCACCATCATTGCTATCTTTATGGCCATCCTCGTCATAGGTTTGATTCAAACTTATAACATATTATACGATTAATCATTAAAAATATGAATCCATATTAAATATTTTCATTTGTCAGCTCATTTTTAAAGATTTTCTTTTATAATAACAATAAATTTGAGATTTATGTTTATATAATTATACTAGGGTTGGTGACGAAGGAGACACAAGGACAAGAACTGTGTCATGAATACTATAGTCTGAGTTCGTTTCCATGTATTGAACACGATTGTCTTGGTCAGTGTGCTTGGAAGCACCCGCATGGTAAAGGCACATGTATGCCATCAAGCCGTCAATGCCTCTGCACTTTTCGTTGCAATGTTTGATTTTTCAATGTTCTCTCTATAAACTATTTTCAATAAAATAATAATAATAATAATATTTTTTCAGTTTTGATGTGTCTGTGATTTATGATTACTGTTATTTTAATATATGTGCCATAAGTAATATGTCAAAATTTTCATAGATCATATCTACTGGAAGTTTAAAAGATTAGTGTGGCCACGTTAGTTTCAAATTACGATTTTAATGTTGCGAGATGTTGTTTGTTTAGCAATTGCGCGATTGGTTGTTGCAAGTTATCGCAGTTTTAAAAGTCGTATCATTGTTTTATCCTGCGATCAAAATATTCGGTCGCAGTCGCATCAATTAATCGCAGTGTTTAATCGCATAGTCCTACTATCAAACGAAAAATTTTTAATCGCAATCGTAGTCGTTTTGAGACATGTGACTGTCAAACGAACATCACATATTTGGAAAATCTACAAAATAACAGAAAATGACAATATGATGTCGTAATAAATGTTTTTTCATATTATTCTTCTTCTTTAAAACTGTGTTTGTGTGGTTTTCTGTCATAAGACATTTTGTGTAGAACTAGTAGAGCTTAGTAACCCACGCTCCAACACTCGTGTGAGTGAGATCCAAACATTAGGGATAGCATGACGAGACAAAGCCTCATAATTAATAGCCCAACGGGCTTATCAAGATCCATTTTGGCTCAGCCAGCACGACGAGTGCGGACTAAAGAAGGGTGACTACTGTTAGGGATTGGTTTTATCCCTACTCTAGGTCCGGCCCATGTTGGTGGAGGAGCAAAGCCGAAGAGAAGAATAATAAAAATTGAAGAAGAAAATAGTAACAGTTTGGAGGAAACTCTTGAATTATTGATGGTATGGCAAGGTAACAAAGAGACTAGATTGATCATCACCAGTCCAAGAGTCCACATAAACTGACGGATCTTTAAACGGAGTTATATTCATGGAGTTATTTGCGTTGCTTCTTAGCCAAGAAACTGCAGAAACTGTCCAAATCTATTTTAAGTCTGAAGCTGTAAAACAGATCCGGGATGCCTTCTTTAAGTGTACACTTAGAGGTTTAAACCTAATTTGATCGAGCTGAAATTTTTTGGAGTTCTTCTTGGTACTAACAGCTCTATATCCAACGGTGGGATTGTCTTTTGAACGGTTATATGTTGTGTTATGCATGCATTTCCAAGGCTGTTCGTTATAGAGTAAATAGTGACAAGTTCTATTGTTGTTGTGGTAATAGAGGTTGGATTGGTCTGAACTCTGAAGCTATGCTTTGGTGATAGAGAAGCAATATGGAAATCAGTGTTAGATTGTAGCGTCTTAAGGCTAAGGTGAGGGTGGTCATCACGGAAACACAATGGTCACTTTTTAAGCATATTCTTCATGAATTGTATGTATAGCTTTGGAAACTATGTGATTGGATATGTCTATTGTTTGATATTACGTGCTATGATATGATTATATGGTAATGATATGATTCTGTTAAATTCATCATCATAATGATGTATAACTTTCATTTTATTTGTTTTGAAGTTGGTGATCTTAGTACACTCTCTCTAGTCTCTAGTCAGTATATAAAGTATAAGTTTGAAACTTTGAATATAACAATATTACATTGAAAACCAGAACACTCTAATTTTGTAGATGGTATACTAAACTGATCCATGCATTTTGCTGCTTTCGTAATCGGATGTATCCTCTGAAAGCGTAGAAGATTCTTCAAAAGGTGCTGATGGAATTTGGAAAACAGGCCTAGGAGGGACTTCAATAGCATCCGCGTTTCCTTCCATCATCTCTACAACTCTGTTCATCGCTGGACGGTCTGATGGTGAACATTGAATACACCACAAACCCACCAATGTCATCTTCTTGATTATCTCATCATCTTTGCAGTTGACTCCATTATCGATAAGCCTCCGAATGTCTCCCTTTTCAAGATCCTTTTATACGCATTCAGGAAAATACGTTGAGCTTGTGTTTGATGCAGAGTTTTGTGTAGGTCTTTCTTTATTATTTGCTCCTATCATCTCAAGGATCAACATACCATAGCTATACACATCCGACTTGTGGGAAACTCTACCGTACATTTTTGAGAACAGTTCGGGTGCAATGTAGCCTATTGTACCTCTTGTGTCTAGCAATGACAAGATGCTCTCTTTCTTCTCGCAAAGCTTAGCAAGGCCAAAGTCTGAAACTTTGGGGACTAAGTTATCATCTAAGAGTACATTTTGAGGTTTTATGTCAAAATGTACAATCCTTGTTTTGCAGCCATGGTGCAAGTACTCTAAACCACGAGCAACTCCAAGCGCGATTCTAGAAAGTGTCGTACAATCTATATCCATCGAAGACTGATCCGAGATGAACTTATCAAGAGACCCATTTTCTAGAAACTCGTAAATAATTGCTCTCTTGGAACCTTCAGAGCAGAATCCTAACAAGGTAAAAATGTTGACATGAGAAGTTTGACTCATGCTTGCAACTTCATTGATGAAGTCTTCACTATTATCACCCTTTAGGTCTTTCAAAACCTTCACCGCAACGAAACGTCCATCAGAAAGTGTTCCTTTATAGACGATTCCAAATCCGCCGCTCCCAACTTCTTCCGCAAATGACTTTGGGATTCTCTTCACTTGTGCGTAACTATACTGCTTCAGTGGAATAAGTGCATTGAGTTTTGGTTGTGGGATAAGCTTCTTGAGGTTTTCTTGACTAAGATCATGAGATGTTTTTCTTTTCCGGAGAATATAGAGAAACAACGTTAAGACCAAGATTAGGAACAGAGTAACACCTACTCCTGAACCTAATGTAAGAAAAAAAATCATCCGGTTAAGAATATTTTTAAAGAAGATAAAAATTTCAGAATAAGATTACCTATTATTGCCCCAACTCCATAAGAGCTTCCTGTATCAATGGGATGACACCAAAACATTAGAAAATTAGAATATGTAAGCAAGAACTTATAAAAAAAAACATTAGAAAATTAGAATATGTAAGCAAGAAATGTTACCATGTTTTCTTGAACCGCAAGTACTCTTATGTGGTTCATCAACACAAAAGCAAATGAATCCACTAGAGCTTTGATTATATCCACAAGCACCTCCAGAACCTATACACATCTGACATTCTTGGTTAAGTCTAACCTCAAAACCATCTTCAAGAGCATTCTTTAGTTTAACTGTAGTGGGACTTGACTGTAGTGTGTCCAGGGAAGGTCCAGATGCAGGAACACTAACGTTTCTTTCGCAAAATCTCTTGAAGTCGTTTAAAGATGAACTGATCCCTTGAAGTAGAGGAGACGAGAGGTTTCTTGTCACATAGTAGTTTCTTTTGAGATTAGTTTTATCAATCGGACAACCAAGCATGCCACCAAAAGTATAAACTACCCTTGAAACATCGCAGCCGTAGAAAATAGTTATCAAGTCAGTGTTAGGAGCAAAGAGAAGGATGTCATCAACAAAGGAAGCGGTTAAAGGAGCATAGGGACAAAGATCGATGATAAGATCGGATCTGGCTAGTTTTATGGTACCAGAGACATAGTTCGCTTCCAAGATTCTGAACTTTACAGAGGAGAAGCTAACTTCTGCAAACCTTTCGCTACATTCGAGCTTGAACTCGGGATGGCCGCACTCTTCTCTTCCAGGAATCCAGAAAGGGTACAAGAGACCATCCTGATTACCGCATTTAAAAGGTTGACTACACTGTCTATAAACATCATTAGCTGAGAAAACACAAGATGGGATCACAAAGAACATCCATACGATTCTAAGGGAGATAGATAAAAACAGATTGGTCATTGTGTTGCAAGTGAAAGAGAAAAATGGTGAAGAAGGAAGAATAAAGATGAAGGGTTTGAAGATGAACCTCAACCTCAACTCATTGTACTGTGAGAGAGAGAAAAGAAGCAAGTGGAAACATTAAAGCTCATGAAGGACATCCATATGATTCTAAGGGAGATAGATAAAAACAGATTGGTCATTGTGTTGCAAGTGAAAGAGAAAAATGGTGAAGAAGGAAGAATAAAGATGAAGGGTTTGAAGATGAACCTCAACCTCAACTCATTGTACTGTGAGAGAGAGATAAGAAGCAAGTGGAAACAGTAAAGCTCATGAAGGACAAGTCAATGAAGGCTAGTGATGAGTCATTATTAGTGACAAACACAAGGAGACGTTTGGAGTCTTTTTATTAGTTACCTTAAAAACACGAAACTAAGATAGAGAAATTGAATATTGTATATTATTGTTTGAATATATTTCTCCACTAATACTCTAATAGTATAGAGATAGCAAAGACAAGTCTTTTCCTAAGAATTTTCTCAGAAAAATATCCAAAACATGAAATTAATTCCCATTAATTTTTGAGTGGTAGTGAGAGAGATTTGTTGGTAAACTTATACCATACTTTCCCAAAGAATAAAATTAAATTTTCTTAACATTGTGTGTATTTCTGTTATCAAAGACTAAATTATTTGCAACCAAATACAGTAACAATACACCATCACAAAAATGTATATGAAGGTTTTCAAGCTCATTAACAACATTAAAAGTATATAAAAATTTTAAATACCCAATATTTTAAAGAGTTGTTAAAGTTTTAAATACTATTTGAAATTGTGACATGTATTTATTATTTTTTATTGTAAACAACTAGTTTCTTACTTGTACATTTGTTAAAGTTTTTCTTTATTTTTAATTAACAATTGTATAAGCAAAAAAACATATGTTTAATCATAAATCATATACTATGTTTGAAAATGAGTTAGTTTTCAGGGGTTTCTCTACACAGTCTTGATAGTTTGCTGGAGAAGTTAGAAGACAAAACATACAAGATGTGAGCGTTGACAGATGGTGACACACTGACACAGTCTGGACTATAAGCAATATGTTACATTTTGTGGATAAAATTTATATTGCTGCTTTCATGCTTTAATACGTTCCACAAAGGTTTCTTTCTTTATGCAACATTTATGGAACATACTTCTGTGTAAACCGAAATATCTTCTAAGAGGGATGAAGATTCTTGAAGAGACACTGTGGGAATTTGAAATACAGGCCGAGGAGGGACCTCAAGAGCATCAAGGTTTCCTTCCATCATCTCTATAACTCTGTTCATCGCGGGGCGATCTGATGGAGAAGGTTGAATACACCACAAACCCACCAGTGTCATCTTCTTTGCTACATCTTCTTCTTCGCTTTTGTTTCCATTTTTAATAAGCCTTCCAGCATTTCCTTTCTCAAGATCCTTGTATATCCATTCAGGAAAGTACATAGAGCTAGTGTTTGATGCAGAGATATGTTCAGCTCTTTCTTTGTTCCTTGCTCCTATCATTTCGAGGAGTAACATTCCGTAGCTGTACACATCCGATTTGTGGGAGACTCGACCATACATTCTTGAAAACAGTTCAGGTGCGATATACCCTATGGTTCCTCTTGTGTTTAGCAGTGACAAAGTGCTTTCTTTCTTCTCCCATAACTTAGCGAGGCCAAAATCTGAAACTTTGGGGCAAAAGTTGTCATCTAAGAGTACATTTTGTGGTTTTATGTCGAAATGTACAATCCTTGTTTTGCAGCCATGGTGCAAGTACTCCAAACCACGAGCAATGCCTAGAGCTATATTGTAAAGTTTCATCCATTCCATGTTCATTGAGGTGTTTCTCGAGATGAACCTATCGAGTGATCCGTTTTCCACAAATTCATAAAGAATTGCTCTCTTGGAACCTTCAGAGCAGAATCCAAGCAAAGAAACAATGTTGACATGAGAAGTTTTGCTCATGCTAGCAACTTCATTGATGAAGTCTTCCCCATTACCCTTTGAGTCTTTCAAGATCTTCACTGCAACACTACAACCGTCAGAAAAAGTTCCTTTGTAAACAGTTCCAAATCCGCCTTTCCCAACCACTTCGGCGAATGACTTTGTAATTCTTTGTATTTGCGCATAGCTGTAGTTTTTGAGTGGAATAAGTGCTGCCAGGTTCTGTTTTCTTAGTTTGTCCGATTTCTTGCTTCTGTAGCTGATTAGCCAGAACAAACCAGCGACTATAAGAATGACCACCGCGAATGCAGACGCAGCCACAACGCCTTGAGACGAAAAGAAAAAAGAAACAAGGAATCATAAGACTATTTATAGTGTTGTAATCAATTTTGTTTTCTTTACCAAACAGAACAAGAATAAGCACCTGCTTTTGCTCCAGTAGAGAGCCCTATAGAGTTACCTGCTCAAATAAAGAGATCAGTTTCATGTTTCAACTTTGAGTTTCTTGATATACTTATCAAAGATTATGCAGAAGGATTCAATCATTAGGGTGTGTGGATGGAGAGATATGGTGAAGGAATAAGTGATGGATTGATGAAGAAACTATTATGAAACTAAAACATGTATGGCAGAAATCTTACCCTTCTTTTTAGAACCGCAAGTACTGTTATGCGTCTCATCTCTACAATAGCAAATAAATCCACCTGAGCTTTGATTATATCCACAAGTACCTCCTGAGGATACGCACATCTCACAGTCTGAGTTAACTTCAACCTCGAAACCCTCTTCAACAGCCTTCTTTAGATTATATGTACTTGGGCTTTTCTCCAGTGTATCCAAAGCTTGTCTAGATGCAGGAATACTTAAGTTTCTACTGCAAATTTTCTTGAAGTCGTTTAAAACGGCACTACTTTCTTCAAGTAAAGGAGATGAGACGTTTCTCGCCAAATAGTAATTTCTTGTGTCATCATCATCACAATCAAAGTATGTACCATACGTAGAAACAGACAAGTCTCCGGTGCAGTTGTAATAAAGCGTCAGCATCTCGGTGTCAGGAGCAAATGGAAGAACGTTTTCATCAAAGGGCACATTTGGTGGGTTTTGAGGACAAAGGTTGTTGATGTAATCCACTCTGGCGAGTCTTTTGAAACGAGTAGTATAATTTGACTCTAGGATTCTTAATTTCATAGAGGAAAGCTCTGCGAATCCTCTGTTACAGTCGAGCTTGAAGTCAGGGTGGCCACAGTCTTCTCTGCCAGGTATCCAAAAAGGGTATGAGAGATTTCTCTGATTACCGCAGCTAAACGGGCTATTGCAGTGTCTATGAAGCTCATCAGCTGAGTAAACACATGATTGGAAAAGAAAGAGAATCCATATGATTCTATAAGACGTAGAATTTGTTTGGGATAGAAACATATTGATCATTGTGTTGGAAATAATAGGAAAATGATGAAGAGATGAAGGAATATGTCAATGTCTTGGTTTTGTAAGAGTTGAACTAGTGAAGGTACAATTTGGTCTATTCTTTGACCACTTCAAAGTCATGTGTTTTCACCTTTTTAATTGAAAAGTCATATGAGGGCACCTGCATCTGCGTTAGTAGAGGGAGTCCCTCATCATTTTCTATGAAAAAAAAGAAAAAAAAAAAAAAAAGGTGCGACGGTAACAAAAACGGGACGGTCCTGCGCACTAATCCGGGCCCCACTGACACGTGGCGGCCCGCGATTGGTTTCATTTTTTTTTTTAAAAAAAAAAAACATAAAAGTAAAAAGAGAAAAAAAAAAAAAAAAAAAAACTGGGGAAGGACGACCAACCGATGCCCTTGCTCTGAGATGACAAAAAAAAAAAGAAAAAAAAAAGAATTGAAAAGTCATATGCTAAGTATTTCCAAAATTATTTTTAAAAATATATATATCCAGAAGCTACGATCCATTTTTTTACAAAATTTACCCTTTTTCATTTTTAGTTTATTCAAAGTCATTTTTACAAAATTTACCATTATAAAAAGTTGAAAAACAAGAAATTTCAATTTTTTAACAAAAAAAAAAGAAAAAAGAAAAAAGAACAGACTTCAAATTAGATAGGCTTATTGACTGCAGCTTCACTACCAAATCTACTACAATAAAACCTCTATAAATTAATAATATTGGGACCATGGATCCTATTAATTTATAATGTGATGCTCATGTAGGTAGCAAATAACAGACAAGAAGTGGAAACATAGTACATGATTTGTTTGAGATCTTTAAATAGTGTGTCTTCTTGGTTTTTGTTGAGGAGAGCAGGGGAAGTGAGTAAATCAAATAGCTAGAGAGTCGCATAAAGATGAGGTGGAGATATATATTTTGAAGGGCCTGACCGTAGGACTAAGTCATGTGAGGACAGTGATGGAATCGGAGACTTGGTATTGAAGTTTACTTTGACAGACTTGGTTAGTTAACTTGATAAATTGAAAAGCATGACACATAAAAGATTACCAAAAAGTTTTGGTCAGTTACGATAACAATTATTCTACCAATTCTTCACTACTGTATACGGCCTAAAGACTATGTACATAATCTAAAGAAGTATGTGATGAAGGTTAGTCAAAGACTTAGGTTAGATACAGTCACTTTATAGCGTAACCAGTTTTTCAAGCACGAGAAAGCTGTAAAAATGAATACATGTTTTTGTCGCAATAATTTTTCTTCTTTAATATGTTCCTTACGGTCTCTTCTCTTTATGTGATATTTACCGAGCATATCTCTGTATAAGCTGAGACATCCTCTGATATTGTAGAAGATTCTTGAAGAGGTGCTACAGGAATTTGAAAAACAGGCCTAGGAGGGACTTCAAGAGCATTTAGGTTCCCTTCCATCATCTCTACTACTCTGTCCATCGATGGACGATCTGATGGAGAAGACTGAATACACCACAAACCCACCAATGTCATCTTCTTTACTAGCTCCTCTTCTCCGCTATTGATGTCATTCTCTAGAAGTCTTCCGTTATCTTGATTCTCAAGATCCTTATATATCCATTCAGGAAAGTATATTGAGCTTTGGTTTGATGCAGAGTCTTCACTTGGTGGTTTGTTCTTTGCTCCAATCATCTCAAGAACCAACATTCCATAGCTATACACATCCGACTTGTGGGAAACTCTACCGTACATTCTTGAAAACAATTCAGGTGCAATGTACCCTATTGTACCTCTTGTGTCTAGCAATGACAAAATACTCTCTTTCTTCTCGCAGAGCTTCGCGAGGCCAAAGTCTGAAACTTTGGGGCAAAGATTGTCATCTAAGAGTACATTTTGTGGTTTAATGTCGAAATGCACAATCCTTGTTCTGCAGCCATGGTGCAAGTACTCTAAACCACGAGCAACTCCTAGCGCAATTCTGTATAGTTCTCCCCAGTCCATAATTGATGACTTCTTGCTAGAGATGAACTTGTCGAGAGATCCATTTTCCATAAATTCGTAAATAATTGCTCTCTTGGAACCTTCAGAACAGAATCCTAGGAGGTTAACAATGTTGACATGAGAAGTTTTACTCATGCTCGCAACTTCGTTGATGAAGTCTTCTCCATTACCTTGAGAATCTTTTAAGATCTTTACTGCAACAATACGACCGTCACAAAGGATTCCTTTATAAACAGTTCCAAATCCGCCTTTCCCCACCACTTCAGCGAATGACTTTGTAATTTTCTTTATTTGGACGTAGTTATAATGTTTTAGTGGTATAAGGGCTTTTAGATACTGTTGTCTTGAATCATCCAATATCTTCTTTCTTGGATTATTCGACTTCTTCCTTCTCTGTCTGATGGAACAGACTAAACATGCGCAGCCTAAACATGCGAGTGTAAGAATGGCCAAACCTGATATAGAAACAACCACAATGCCTGGAGAAGAAAACAAAAGAACAATTTTCATAATAAGTCTATGTATATTGTTGTCAAATTATGTGTAGCCACGGGAAAATGTGAAGTACCTGCTAATGCTCCAGGCGAGAGGCCTGAAATGACACAAGAAATGAGGTTAGTTTGAAGCAAATGCAGAACTTTGATTCTTAGTGGAATGAAAAACTTGCAGCTCAAAGGGATTTTCTGTATAGAGTTATAAGAAGCTAAAAGGATTTTTTATGTAGATGAACCAATCGAAAAGGTGGGTGGGTGGGGAGTTCTAGGGAAGGGACTAATAATGATTCTTGTGGAAGAGCATTTAGGCTATTCAACTAGAACATGTCGGAAATCTTACCTTTATGTTGTTCTTCCATATAATAGCAGGTGAAACTACTTGAGCTCTGATTATACCCACAAGCACCGCCAGATTCAATGCACTTCGGACATTCTTGGTTAGGTCCAAGCTGAAAACCGTCTTCAAAAGCCTTCTTTAGATTATCTCTACTCCAAGTTAGCTGCAGAGTGTTGAGTGTTGGTCCAGATACAGGAATACTGACGTTTCTATCGCAATATCTTTCGAATTCGTTTAAAAGAGTAGAAATCGGGTCAAGAGGAGAGAATGAGAGGTCCCTCGTCACGTAATATCTTATTTCATCACCATTATCATCCCCACAAGCAAGCTCTTTAACATTACTAGAAACAAGGGCTGATAAGTCCTTGGTACACTGGGAGTAAATTGTCAGCAGCTTGGTGTTGTTAGCAAACGGAAGAATGCTTCCATTGAATGGTGCATCTATAGGATGGTCGGGACAAATATCTTCTGTGTAATCCAATCTTGCAAGTCTTATGATACCAGTGATATAATCAGCTTCTAGGATTCTGAATTTCACAGAGGAAAGGCTAAACTCTGGGAATCCTGCGCTACAGTCGTCGAGCTTGAAGTCAGGATGACCACAGTCTTCTCGTCCAGCTATCCAGAAAGGGTAAAAGAGTTCTTTCTGATTGCTACAGCTAAACGGTCCACTGCAGCGTTTGTGAATCTCAGAATTATTAGCTGAGAAAACACAAGATGGGATCAGTAAAAGCATCCATATAAAGTGTAATGATTGATGAGAGTTTAGGATTGGAAGAATTGTATATTGACTCTCATAAAGATGATGTTACAATATACAAGCATATATATAGGAATAACATTTAACCTAGTTTCCTAACTAAAGAGATCATATAAAATATATACAAATCGTTAATATGATTGTGAAAGATATTTACATATCTTCTAGATATCCTCTTATATAAAGAAGCTATAGGATAAAGATTTCGTCACGGAAAGAGACAAATGGATCATTTTGTTGCTTTGTTAAGAAGATACGAAGAAAATGGGACTTGGTTTCGTAAGAGTTGAACTAAAGGATCATGTTCCCACACTCCCACCACCCAAAATTTTGTTTACTTGAATCACAAGGTATATGGTGAAATAAGGAGAAGAAGAAGACGAAGAAGTTGGGAGGAGATGGTCCACGATCTGTTAGAGAGAAAACAGGAGAGATTAATCGATAGGAAGCAAGTGGAAACGTTGTAGGTCGAGAAGGGCGGTGACCGGTGAGGCCAAGTCAAGAGAGGCTTTGGTGTGATTATTAGTTGACCCAAAGTCAAGGAAGGATAGTGACAGATACAGAGAGACTTTGGGAGTCTTTATTAGTTTTAGATAAAATGTTATTTCTGAAACTTAGACATCATGTAGACGATTCAATCAATATGCATATATTAATTGTAAAACAGTTTTTTTTGTGGTTGAATAAATTTTGTGAGGATAGTGACCGAATCGGAGACTCAGTACTACCCATAGTTTACTTTGACTAAACTTCTATATTTTAATTGCTGTGTAGTCTCACATAATAAACAATTGGGTCCTTAATTTCCAAGAATTGCTTAGGACAGATTCTAATTAAAATGATAAATGGAAAACATGACACATTAAAAGTTTTGGTCAATTACGATAACATTTTATTATATTTTTACCAATTCTTGAAAGCTGTATATGATCGAAAGAAGTATATGATCAAGGACTACTAACCTTGGTTATCGTGACAGGAGGACTTGTGAGGCTTGTCTTCACACAGACATTGGAAATTTCCTGACCCCGAACCACAAATCCCACCGGAAGTGGTACAATCTTCGCAAACTTGAGTTTGTATATTATATTTCAAGTCGAACCCTTGTTCCAAAGCGCGGTCCAATGCTCCGTTGGAGTCATTTGACAGGTAAAGATCGTTCTTAGCAGCCTGAAGCATTGGAATTTCTCCAACCTTTACACAACTATTGACATGAGTATACGACTGTCCGAAGACGTGATATGTTTTCTGACGGTCGTTGCTTGTTAGGCAAGAAATATTTGACAGCGAGCTTACGTTTTCGCGGCATTCGAACAAATCGATCTTTGCGGTGGAAGTGGATATTGTAAACTCCTTCTCGCCAGTAAAGTTCAAAATCTGTGAGCAGTTCCCATCTAACAAGCTCTCATCAACAACGGTAATTACTTGATCCGTCAGATTCACTGATCTTACGCGAAGTTTGAGATCTCCAATATCTAGGGTTAGGGATTGATTATTCTCGCAGGAGAGTTCGAACGGTGATGTGCCGCAGGATCTGGGTTTGTTGGATCCCCAGAACGGATACGTGGTGTTCGACTCGAACACCTGCTGTCTAGATCCACATGTCAGAGGTAATCTACACTCTTCGTACTGTTGATCAGCAGAGAAGCACGACGGGAGGTTAGCTACGGAGAAGACAACGAAGGTGATGATGAAGAGAAGAGAGATAGACATTGGGTTTTGCTGACAACTAAGAGTTTGTTGTTTGTTTGTTTGTTTGGTTTGTTTATGTATATGAAGTAAGAACGGTCAGAAACTTCACGAGGAAAAGTCAATAATTTGATTAGTCAAAGACTTAGGTTAGATACAGTCTCTTTATAGCGTAACCAGTTTTTTCAAGCAAACGAGAAAGCTGTAAAAATGAATACATGTTTTTGCCGCATTACGTCTCTTCTCTTTATGTGATATTTACCGAGCATATCTCTGTATAAGCTGAGACATCCTCTGATATTGTAGAGGTTTCTTGAAGAGGTGCTACGGGAATTTGAAAAACAGGCCTAGGAGGGACTTCAAGAGCATTGAGGTTCCCTTCCATCATCTCTACTACTCTGTCCATCGATGGACGGTCTGATGGACAATACTGAATACACCACAAACCAACCAATGTCATCTTCTTTGATATCTCCTCTTCTCTACTATTGATGCCATTCTCTAGGAGTCTTCCGTTATCTTGATTCTCAAGATCCTTATATATCCATTCAGGAAAGTATATTGAGCTTTGGTTTGATGCAGAGTCTTCACTTGGTGGTTTGTTCTTTGCTCCAATCATCTCAAGAACCAACATTCCATAGCTATACACATCCGACTTGTGGGAAACTCTACCGTACATTCTTGAAAACAATTCAGGTGCAATGTACCCTATTGTACCTCTTGTGTCTAGCAATGACAAAATACTCTCTTTCTTCTCGCAGAGCTTCGCGAGGCCAAAGTCTGAAACTTTGGGGCAAAGATTGTCATCTAAGAGTACATTTTGTGGTTTAATGTCGAAATGTACAATCCTTGTTCTGCAGCCATGGTGCAAGTACTCTAAACCACGAGCAACTCCTAGAGCAATTCTATATAGTTCCCCACAGTCCATAATTGATGACTTCTTGCTAGAGATGAACTTGTCGAGAGATCCATTTTCCATAAATTCGTAAATAATTGCTCTCTTGGAACCTTCAGAACAGAATCCTAGGAGGTTAACAATGTTGACATGAGAAGTTTTACTCATGCTCGCAACTTCGTTGATGAAGTCTTCTCCATTACCTTGAGAATCTTTTAAGATCTTTACTGCAACAATACGACCGTCACAAAGGATTCCTTTATAAACAGTTCCAAATCCGCCTTTCCCCACCACTTCAGCGAATGACTTTGTAATCTTTTTTATTTGGACGTAGCTATAATGTTTTAGTGGTATAAGGGCTTTTAGATACTGTTGTCTTGAATCATCCAATATCTTCTTTCTTGGATTATTCAAGGTCATCCTTCTCCGTCTGATGAAACAGACTAAACATGCGAGTGTAAGAATGGCCAAACCTGATATAGAACCAACCACAATGCCTGGAGAAGAAAACAAAAGAACAATTTTTATAACATAAGTATATGCTGTATATATTGTTATCAAATTAGGTGTTACCAAAAAGAAGGGGAAAAGTGGAAGCACCTGCTTTTGCTCCAATAGAGAGGCCTGAAATAACTAAATGACACAAAAATAAGGTTAGTTTGAAGTAAATGCAGAACTTTGAATCTTACTTGGATGAACCAATCAAAAGGTGTTTCTGTATATAGTTATCAGAAACCAAAAAGATTTTATGTAGATGAACCAATCAAAAAAAGGTGGGTGAGTGGGGAGTTCTATGGAAAGGGAAAATGATGATTCTTGTGGAAGAGCATTTAGGCTATTCAATTACAACATGTAGGGATTCTTACCTTCGCTACGGTTATGTGGCTCTTTCATATAATAGCAGGTGAAACTACTTGTGCTCTGATTATACCCACAAGCACCGCCAGATTCAATGCACTTCGAACAATCTTGGTTAGGTCTAAGCTCGAAACCGTATTCAAGAGTCTTCTTTAGATTAGCTCTACTCCAAGTTAGCTGCAGTGTGTTGAGTGTTCCAGATTCAGGTATACTGACGTTTCTGTCGCAATAGGTTTTGAAGTCGTTTAAAATCATCGGTTCAAGTAGAGGGGAGAAGATGTCTCTTGTCACGTAGTATCTTATTTCATCCCCACAAGCAAGCTCTTGAACATTAATAGAAACAAGGTGTGATAAGTCCTCGTGACACTGTGAGTAAATTGTCAGCAGCTGGGTGTTGGAAGCAAATGGAAGGATGCTTCCGTTGAATGGTGCATCTATAGGATCTTGGGGACAAATATCTTCCATGTAATCCAATCTTGCAATTCTTATGATACCAAAGCCATAATTAGCTTCTAGGATTCTGAATTTCACAGATGAAATGTTAAGCTCTGCGAATACTCCGCTACAGTCGTCGAGTTTGAAGTCAGGATGACCACAGTCTTCCCTACCAGATATCCAGAAAGGGTAAAAGAGTTCTTTCTGATTGCCACAGCTAAACGAGCCACTGCAGCGTTTGTGAATCTGAGAGTTACTAGCTGAGAAAACACAAGATGGGATCAGAAAAAGCATCCATATAAAGTAGTTATATGACACAGATTTTGTCACGGAAAGAGACTAATGGATCATTGTACATGTTGCTTTTGTAAGAAGAGACGAATGAATAAAATAAAAAATGGTGAAAAGAAGAGCGGAGCAAGTGTGTTTATTAGTTAAGAAGAAGAAGAAGAAGAAGTGTGTTTATTAGTTGACCCAAAGTCAAGGAAGGATAGTGACAGATACAGAGAGACTTTGAAGTCTTTCTTAGTTTGAGATACAACGTAATTTCTGAAACCTAATGAGAATCTAAAGATATTGCAGAAAATTTTGGAGTATGTAAAACGGCAAATATCATCATCTACAATTGAACTTGAAACCAGATAAGCTCATACTATCATATTTTTTGGGGCATCTTCTCAAGCTCACTAATAGCCTTAACAGAGGAAGATCAGAACAATTATAACTTAGAGACATATACTTAAGTAGTTGTTTCATATGTCACGAGTAAATTTTTTTTTTATGAAAAAAATCATATCAATGGTGTTGCCTTAATCCTCAAGCTCTTCATCGGAAAACCCTACAATCTAAGAAATGAGAAAATAACATATTACGATCAAGAAGAATGATTTTGGCTCATTTTCACAGTAGGTCTTGGGGGTAGTAGCATTAGCTAGATTCTTCTAAAATTTTTTGTTGGAATCAATTATCGATTTGCCATTTTTTGTGATGGCATTTGTAGATTTGCCCTTTTGGGTAAATTCTTATGGATTTGCCATTTTTCAGGTTAGAAACATGTGATCAAACATGCGTTTTACTCGTTATGTTTGAGTTTAGTCGGTTCTAATTGTCTTTAGGGTTTAGTATTTACTATAAAGTACGTCTTTTAGTTATAAAAAAAAATCAGAAATGGACATTTTTAAAAGTTCAAAAATGGCAAATCCATAAGATTTTAGTAAAAATAGCACATTCGTAAAGTTTTCCCTGTAAGAACCCCAATTTTGTTGCATAGGTTCCCGGTTTGCGTTTCTCTTGGGAAGAGCTAGCTATTGGAACCCCGATGGGAGATATACGGGTTTGGGCCTAGAACTTCTCAAATTAACCCTAAGAAAAGAGAAAAAAAAGTTGGCTATTGAAACTATGACGGTGTATAAGAAACTTACCATCAAGTGAATGGAGTTTATAGCAACTTGACCATGAGGATTCTTTGCAGCAAATCAGTGTTGAATTATCGAAGCCGCAGGTTCCACCAGAGGATGAAGATTCTTGACAAGGTTTCTCATCAATCTTTAACTTCACTTCAAACCCTTCTTTTAAAGCCTTTTCCAAGTGTGTTAAATTCAACTCTTTCTCTTCTAAGCCGAAGCTCTTTGGAACGTTAACTGGGAAACTGGCTTGACAAGAGTTTTGATAATCAAGGGTTTCAGACACTGAGACAAGGCCTCTACCAGGACATGTATAAGAGGAACTGTAGGAAAGATTAGAGTCGCAGTGGTAGAAAACAGTGAGGCTTTTGTAGGTGGACGAAAGCTCATAGAGTTCGGAAGGCAAGGTTGTGGATGAGAATGTAGCTTCACAGAAAGAACCTTCAAGCTCTGCTCTAGCGAGTCTAAGAGTGTTAGATATTTCATCTATATGAAGAACGTTGTAAAGATGGTCTGAGATGATTATAGAGGTTTTGTTGTTAAAGCAGTGAAGCTCCAGCGATGGATGACCGCAAATTTGCCGACGAAGCCCACCCAAGAAGGGGAAACCAGCGGTGATGTTCCCACACTGAAACTTATCTTTGCACCACCCTGGTTCTTCTTTGCTTGAAGAGGATGGAAGATGATGAAGGATGAGGATGAAAAAGATGAGATCAGAAATGGAAAGATTATACATGCTCTCAGTTTGTTCTTGTGTTGAGG